CCCCCCCCCCCCCCCCCCCAGGTGACAGGGCCTTCTCTGTAACAGGACCAAGACTTTGGGACGAGTTGCCTCTGCTTGTCAGACTGGCCCCCTCCCTCTCGGTTTTCAAATCCCGTTTAAAAACCCACTACTATTCAGTAGCTTTCAACACCAGAGGATCTGTGTTTTGAACCTGTATGCTCCACACTGGTTAGTCGTCATATTTATTATCTGCATCGTTTTTATGTCTATATTTTTGATTTACTTCATTTTATATATTGCTTTGTGTGTTACCTGTTGTTCTGTCTGTACAGCACTTTGGTTGGCCTTGTCGCTGTTTTAAGTGCTCTATAAATAAAACGGTATGGTATGGTATGGTAGGGGAAAAAATATCGGTATTGGTATCGGTTATCGGCCAAATAAGTTTTAACGTATCGGATATCGGCCAAAAATCCAATATCGTGCATCCCTAATTTTAGTGTTTGTTTGTTACTTGTTTACTGATCTATAACTTTGTACCAATCTGTAACAAGGGGTAAAAGCATTCAAGTGTTTTAATTATTCTATTCTTAGTGATTTAGCAGTTTATTTATATAAAAATTTGCTTAAAAACTGTGTCACCAGCACTTTCTGACTGCTTGGTGCATTGTGTGTGGAAGTGGCTAACTCAAAGCATAAGTTAAATTTACTGATGTTTTTAAACCTTAAAAAAATGTTTTTTTCAACTTCTGTGATTTTTAGAAAAGCACTCCCTGACCTACATCTACACGGCCTTCTCCAAACCCGTGGATCTCCCGGGCTTCCATGAGTTCACGGCCATGGGTCTGCTGAACAACAAGATGATTGACTACTACGACAGCGATGAGCAAAAGAAAGTTCCCAAACAGTCGTGGATGAAGGAGAATCTTGAGCAGGAGTACTGGGATAAAGGAACACAGTCCAGGAGAAGCAAGCAGCAGTGGTTCAAGGTCAACATTGACATTTTGATGAAGCGACTCAGACAGAATGACACGGGTAATGCTCAAGTGAAATAAAATACCAATTAAGAATAATTGCATTTATGCCTTACCTTATTTATGTTCTTGGTGTTTTATAATTCTCATTTGTATTCTTATAGATACCCATGTTCTTCAGTGGATGCATGGCTGTGAGGGTGAGAGTCAGCCTGATGGCACTGTAAAATTCGTCCGTGGCATGGACAGGTACAATTATGATGGAGACGACTTCCTGTCCTTCGACGATGGCAACCAAATCTGGGTCGCCACAAACAATGCAGCAGAAGAAACCAAGAGAAAGTGGGATGGTGTCCAGGTCCTGAAGGAATACACTAAAGGTTACCTGGAGAAGGAGTGTATGGACTGGATGGGCAAGTTCAAACGCTATGGACAAGCTCAGCTTATAAAAGCCTGTACGTATAACAAAAACTGTACATTTAATCCTTAGTGTCAGGGATTCTAAACTAGGGCTGAACAATTAATTGCATTTGCGATAATATCGCAATATGATAAAACGAGATTTTCTAATCGCAAAGGCTGCAATTTGACTGGTCACGTGATCTGGTTACATGACTTGCGAGGGAGCGGATTGGAATAAAGCAGAGTAGGGAACAGAAGTCAACACTACGCTTTAACCATTTGCACAATGGCGTCAGGATCGAGAAAAGCAGATACATCTGAAAGTTTGGTACCGAAGAGGGGCAGCACGTCCGTTGTTCGGAAATATTTTGGCTATAAAAAATAAGACGCTGTGCAACGTATTGTGCAGAACCTGCCTTGCTGCTGTTGCTACCTCTAAAGGTAACACCACAAACCTTTATCAACACTTAAAAAAACACTACAAAGCCATTTACGATAGTTGCATGTCTAGAATGCCAACAACTAGCGCTTCAACTTCAAGTATGCAAAGAATCAGCTGACAGGGATCACTGACCGAACTGTTCAAAGGTATTACTCCGTATGAACATAATTCGAAACGGCATGCAGAAATAACTCAAGCAATAACGGAGTTCATAGCGAAAGACATGATGCCCATTAATGTAGTGACCAAGCCTGAGTTTATGACTTTGGTAAACACAACGGATAAACAGTACAGGATGCCCTCGTAGCCAAGTTGCTATCCTGGAGCTATAGAAATATACTGAAACAGAGTTGCAGCAGAGCTGAAAACTGTGGAGTTTTTTGCAACTGAAACAGATTTATTGCTTGTGTTTTTTGAAAAATACATGAGAAGAAGACATCGATAAATAATCGCATATTAAATCGCAATATTGTGGTAAAAAAAAAAATCGCAATTAGAATATTTTCCAAAATTGTTCAACCCTATTCGAAACATTGATTCACTCAAAAATACAAACCTGCTCAGGTACAAGTAGCAGATGCTATCTTGATCTATTTTACTAAATCCTACTCTGGACATTTAAATGTATCGTGTGACTAACTATATTTGGCTAAAATGGTCTTTTAATACATTTTTTAATCGCTACCTTTCAAGACTAATTTTTCTTTTGCTCTTTCAGCTCCGCCTACAGTGCACTTGTTCACACGTAAGTCCAACGTTGCGACAAACGTTATCTTGACATGCCTGGCCACAGGCTTCTACCCAAAAGATATCAGCCTGCAGATCAAAAGAAACGGCTACGTCCTAACCAAAGCGGATGGACTGGAGTCATTCGGGGTTCGTCCCAATGAAGACGACACTTTCCAGAGACGAGACTATGTTGAGATTTTGACGTCTGATGTTTCCACTTACACCTGTGAAGTCATTCACGCTGCCTCAGACGTGCATGTTGTAAAGCGTTTGGGTAAGAAATTGTTTTTGGCAGGTATCTGAGCTTTGTTTTAAATCAGATGCTGTTTGTCCAGTGGCTTTTTCATTACTAGTTCATCACATTCAAGATGGAAAACATTTTTTCTTAGCTGTTGTCCCTATTCTAGTCAATTATCAGAGCCCATAACATGAGTACGGAAGAGGATTAGGGCCACGGTGCCAAATATGTTTTTTCTTTACTCTGAGAAAAATATCAGAATTCTGAGAATAGGGTAATAAAAATGGATGAAAGTGGTCGGAGAGGTTTATGCGGCCGCAGTGCAAATGCCCTGCACTGACGCTCCTCCGTGCAGAGCCGTGGAGGATGAGCTTCCTCTGGTGGCGTGAGCCCCGAGTCCCTCTGGAGGCTGAGCTCCAGAGGAAATATATGCCTGTGGCACAGCCTCGCATACTGCACGTCTGAACAATAATTCGATATCGATATATATTGCGATATACTTTTATTCAATAACGATGATATGAGTTTTAAGCACATTTTCGATATTTCCATATGATTACAGTGTTTCACTAACTCATTGCTTTTTCTCTTCGGTTTCAACGTGAACAGAAAAAGGTGCGACACAACTAATAAGTGCGTGGTGACGTAGATGTTGCGCAGAGCTCGAGTCCAGAAGGCGTTAGCGGTAGCAGGCTAGGCTAATCTCCAACGCGCATTGTTTTCTCTTCAAAATGAGTTCCCATGACCGTCAGAATGTGACTGAACAAGCTTTCACAAGCAAAGAGAAAGCAGATGACACGATTTATAAGAGAGGAAAGACTAATTTGTCGGTGTGGAAGTGGTTCGGCTTTCTAAGATACAATAAACTGCAGGTTTCAGTCAGTGTGCTGCAAAATGTGCCGGAGAGTCGTTCCAACTAGCGGTGGGAACTTGTTTCATCTGAAGAGTTTCCACTCGATAGAATGTGCCGAGTCAGAAGATGAAGAACAATAAAAGTTTGAGCCAACATGTCCCTGAAACGACCCCCCAGCTGCATCAAAACCCATGCGTCAAACGCAGATGTTTGCTGTATGGGTTAGGTTATGTTGTTTAAAGTTAAAACTAGTTTATTTGACGGTGATTTCAATTTTTTTTTTGAAGGCGCACAGGGCAGAGGAGATGAGAGGTGGCTTCCTCCTCTGAGTTATGTGGGGAAAAATGCACTGTGGCCCTAATCCTCTTCCGTACCTGAACCAGTGTCTGTCATTCTTTTGTATTATGGCTGTCGGTGATTTCTTCAATGAACTGAATTGCACTCTCTACCAAATGTTTTTTATTACAAGCAGATCTCTGTAGATGTGTGAATGCATCCACGTTTCATTAACAGTTTACAGCTTTCATCCCCACATAACTTAGTATGAGGTATAAAATACTTTGAGTTAAGTTACCTGCTGTTTAATGTTTTCTGTGGGCTTATTGTCAAAACCTGACGAAGTTGGTTCATTTGGTGATAATAGTATTGAGCGGTGCTGTGTCTGGCAACATTTGGTTTCCAAAATCAGACCCATTTAACGTGAACTGAACATAAAACTAACATGAATGTTTTCTTTGTGTTAGACACCACTCAACTAAACAAAGGTGGAACGTCAGTCCTCGTCATTGTTGGTGTTGCTATAGGAATCGTGGTGCTGATAGCAGCCGTTGTGGTGACTATTGTGTATAAAAGGAGTGAATGTAAAGAACGTAAGTGCAACATTTTCTATAAGTTTGGTCTTTATCAACAGGGATGTTGTTGCATTTTTCCCAGATGGACAAGATAGCTCTATTTACAGGAGTGAAGGACTTTCAAACTGTTTGAGTTACAGTATGTGAAGAGTTACTAAAATTGTATTGTGAAGATTCTCAGTCCAGTGTTGATCTCCAGACTATAATAGTTTCAGTTGTGGAAAAAAAATAAAAATGGGTGTGATTATATTTTATTAGGTGCAAAGTCTGGTTTATTTTACGAACGTGCCCAAAGTTCGCACTGAATGATTTTAATTGTTTAATTGTGGCGACAGTATTGAATTAAAACGGAAGAATCATTTTAAAAACCTGATTTTTGCTCACAAAGAGTTCCGTTTAACTTTTCCAGAAGTATTTATATATGTAGTATTTTATATATTTTAGTATGTCATAAACTGAGCTTTAAAAAAGTTAATTATAAATTTTGACTCGTCAATAATTTCAGTAAAATAAATGTTTTATTACTCCAGTACACTGCGTTTGTATTCCTGTTCTTTGTTTAATTTGCTATAAATATGTATCTTGTTAAAGTTGCTCTTTATTAATTTTTATTTTCTCATTTTTATATATTTTTTTCATGATGCGTCTAATTAAATTTAAATTTATTTCCCACATGAAGATATGTTTATGTCAGTAACTGTCTTAATTAATTGTCTCTTTATTTTCAGGTTGCAAAGGTGCTGCGGGGTCTGACTCAGGTAAGTGTTTTTATGATAAACTTTCTCTTGGGCTTATAATACCATCAGAGTTCACTGAATTATTTAAATATGTGCAAATATTTGGACTGCAACATCATCTAAATTGCCAAAATGAAACTTTCTACTTGTTCACTGGAAATATTACCTCCCTCTTTGCTTGTCCAGACTCTAGCCTGTATTGGTCCAACAGTGTTGATGATAAGTACCAACTCCCTGAACAAAGGGTTCATCCCATTGTATTTTAAAACAGCAGAAGTGACCCCTCTCTTAAAGAAGCCTAACCTTGATTCTGGCTCCCTTTCCAACTTACGTCCCATTTCTAAACTGTCTTTTCTCAGTAAATTACTTGAAAAAGTTGTAGAAACCCAACTCAGATCCTGGTTCTGTCAGTTACAGATCTCTGATCCCTTTCAGTCTGGTTTTCTAAAACAGCATTCCACTGAAACTTCTCTGGTAAAAGTCCACAATGATCTGTTCATGGTTGCTGATGAAGGAAAATGCTCTGTGTTGGTCCTGTTAGATCTTAGTGCTGCCTTTGATACTGTCGACCACACAACCTTATTAAACAGACTGAAGGTGGTGGCTGGTATTTCTGGCTCAGCCTCGGACTGGCTCACATCATACCTATCTCACAGAACTTTCTGCATCAAGACGGACAGGTTCTCCTCTGCTTATGCCCCCTTAAATTGTGGGGTGCCACAAGGCTCAGTTCTGGGTCCACTTTAGTTTCCTTTTATATTATCCCACTTGCCAGCATTATTCAATCCTTTTCTGATATTTCTTATCACATTTATGCGGATGACATTCAGTTGTATTTTTCATTTAGACCACACCAGCTGGATAAATTGGCCATCCTTGTCCAGTGTTTGTCCTGTATTAGTGACTGGCTTGCCAGTAACTTCCTGGTTTTAAACACCAGTAAGACAGAGACTTTGATTACTGCTCCCAGTCACCTTCACCCAAAAATCAATCAGAAAATTGCCTCTTTCTGCCCAGTAGCCAAATCAAAAGTAAAAAAATTAGGAGTCACATTTGACTCATCATTGGGCTTTGAGTCTCACATAAAAGCTATTTCCCATTTTTGTTTCTTTCATTTAAGAAACATTTCTAAAATACGACCTATGGTCTCCAGAGTTGATCTAGAAAAAATGATTCACGCTTTTGTGTCATCGCGTCTGGACTACTGTAATGCTCTTTTTACCTGCCTGGACAAGTCTTCTGTTTCTCGTCTACAAGTAATTCAGAACGCAGCTGCCAGACTTCTCACCAAATCCAGCAAATACTGTCACATCACCCCGGTTCTATATTCACTGCACTGGCTCCCAGTTGAGTTTAGAATCCGTTTTAAAGTTCTTGTGCTGACGTACAGAGCTTTAAATGGCCAGGCTCCTGTGCATCTTTGTCAGCTTTTGACCAAATACTCTGCTGCTCGTGGCCTTCGCTCCCGGTCACAGAACCTCTTGGATGTTCCACGTGCGCGGCTGAAAACTTAAGGGGACCGGGCGTTTCAGTCAGTGGCTCCAAGACTGTGGAACAGTTTGACCCTGCAACTTCGTTCTGCTGACTCTGTTGAGGTTTTTAAAAAGCAACTGAAAACACTTTTATTCTCCCAGGCTTTTATGTCATGATTTTACTGAGCTTCTTGTAGTTCTTAGGCTTGTTTTATTCTTTGTATATTTTAGCGTTGATTTTTATTGTGCAGCGCTTTGTGATTTTATGTCTGTGATAAGCGCTCTATAAATAAACTTTACTTATTTACTAAATCGATGCTCGTGAATAAATTCAAGTTGATTGATACAATAAATCATGCAAAATTGCTTTACAGTAATACAATTTCTTCGAGAATTAGAAATTTTTTCTAAAATTCTCCTAAATTTAAATTTAATGTTGCCTCAAAACAATAAAGTTTTATTTTTAGCTCTTTACTTTGACATTTCAAATCATAGTGTATTAATATGAAGACTTTTAATTTCCTCACATGCATTTTAAATGGATATTTGTAGGAGTAGTGAGATTAGCCGCTACACATGATGAAATCATGATTACTGACACCGGCTGTTTTCACAGGGTCTTCTGATGGAAAAACCAGTAGCACACAAGACAGCAACGGTAACACTTTTTTTGTTTTAATTACGATTTTTGCTTGTCGCTTAATTTATTTGTCACGTAGAAGAGATTAAAAGCAGATTCAAACAGTTCCTGCTACTGTTTTACTTGTTTGTTTCACCCATAAGTGAGCATTTGGTTTACAGTCTGCTCGAAAAGCATTTATTGAAATACTTCATCATATATACATTTGTCCCTCGTTTATTGCAGGGGTTACTTTCCGGACTGCTAAGTAGGGACGTTATATTTATTTTAGTATTTATATATATTTTAAGGCTTTGTAAACCTTTCCCACACTCTTGCAATGTTCTAAACTCTTAAACCTTCGTCATTTTAACAACATACATATATGTACTTCACAGTACTGCAAAATTTACTCGCCAGCTCTGTAGAACAGCAGCAGCTCGGTTCCGGTCCGGTTCTGATCGACTTTCTGCAGCCTTTGAACATCAAAACACTTTTAGAGAAAGCCGGACCTTCGGATAGCCCACGCAAAATTACAAAATGGTCCCGATTGAGTCCAAATCCAGATGAAAAAAGACCCGGACAAAATTTTCCCTCCATTTCAGCAGAAGGCAACATCTGGAAGCACTGATGGGTTTTCTTGGCAGGGCACTGTTGGCTTCTGGGAAATGTAGTCCTTTTGAGTGGCGATACAGTGTAGGCTTATTGAGAGAAAACTACAAAATGGCGGCGCACGTCCAATGTATTTTTTCTTTAACTTTTTACTGTATCCCGTACTGTCCCAATCACGTGAGTAATATTAAAGTTGATAATCGTGTGTCGTGTACAATATTTTTTTTCTCGCGTACAATCCTACTTTGGAAAAACAGCAAAAGAGCAAGTCCGCAAAAGTAAAACCGCGAAGTAGCGAGGAACTACTGTAGTTTTATTCACATAACGTCTAAAGTTTGTCGTGTCCAATCCTGTGTATGACATACTACACCTGTAACTAACTGTTCAACTTTAAATCTGAAGTTAGACGACAATAAACGAATCTTGTGGGGCACCTGGACAGTGAGTGAATGTTGAAGTCATTCGAGCTGTGGTGTCAGATGTTTTAAAAGCCTTCTCTTAGACAGGACGTTTTAATTTAATTTAATTTAATTTAATCTGACAAACAAAAGGATACAGATGAACCTGCAACGAACAGGTTAAACCAGTTCAGTACAAGTAAATGTACAGACAGTGGATCTAGAAATGTGACAGAACCTCTCAGCTAACATATAAACAGGTCGGCCTTGGTAACAATAAAAGTTTATTTTATCTTTTACAAATGTGTTTATTATATATTTCTACACACATAATTAAACCTGACTATTAACCTGAATGTTTCTTTTCTCAGGTTCAAATGGCACTCTCAGCAGCGAGTCTAGCGTTGGTTGTAAGTATTTGCGCAGCCACTTGCTTTAATTCAGATGGCTGTACTGTAAAACTTAGGGCTGGACGATATGGCCAAAACTTTTATCACGATATATTTCTTAATTTCGGTCGATAACGATATAATTCGATATCGATATAAACAAGATAAAAGCCTCAGAAAAACTACAAACTATACAAATAAATTAATGTTCGCCTTTTATTTGTATTTAGCCTTCAAAAAAATTGAAATCACTGTCAAATCAACATAAAATTCTCAACTTTGTCAATATTAATAGTTTTAACTTTAAACGACTTTAAAATTGACAGCATTGAAATTCGTTGTTAATTAAATAAAATTTTTGGGTGTCGTTACTGATGAGAAGCTGACGTGGAAATTTCATGTAAAATACTTAAAAATAAAAACAACAATCAATTGCATTACTGTATAAAGTAAAAGAGTTTTTGAATGACAAAGCTTTGTACATATTGTAAAATGTAATGATTGTTCCATATTTAATCTATTGTAATGAAGTTTGGGTAAAAACATGCAAAACAATTACAAACCCTATTTTTATTTTTACAAAAAAGAGCTATAAGAATTATTAGTATTATGAGCTATGGTCACCCAACAAATATATTATTTCATTAATTAAAATGATTAAAATGTTATGGTTTGGTTGACTACAGTATTTTACAAGTCATGTATAAAGCATTTAAAAATATTAGCCCCAAATATTCAATTAAAATTTGTAAAAAATAAATATAAAAAAGGAGAGACAATAAAACCTTAAGGGAATGGAAATGTTTGTTAAACCTCCATTTAGAACTAGTGTGAAGGAGCTGTGTTGTAATTCAGGGAACAGGATTATGGAATTGTCTTTATCACCATAAAAATTTCTAAAACAATTTATATGTTTAAAAAGATGATTAAGTTAAAGTTGTTGGGAACGTAAAGGACCAGGTGAAGGATACCTGAAGTTTTTTTGTTTTCAGTTTGGAGATTCCTTTGATTTTGACTGGAATTTTTTTTGTGGATAGTGTCTGAACTATGAACACAGCTTGTGTAGAAAGTAATAAGTTTAAATGCTTTTTGTTCTAAATGGTGGTTATGTTCAGTATTCACCTACTCGTTGCCAGATTTATCGGAACTGTTTGCAGAATAAATGTCAAAAGAAGCATTAAATGTTTATTTTCAAGTGAAAAGGCCTGAAGAGGAAAAACCTGAGTTACAAAGGAGGATCATAAATTGTAAATTTAAATTGCAGTTTTGAGTTTTATTGATCCAGCTTGTATGAAGAAAGCCCAGCGTCAGACCACACAGTTCTGATTGTGAATGAGGATTTGTTGCGTTCATTGCATGACATCTCTGTGCTCCTGGAGTAACGCTGCTTTTTTGTTCCAATAGACAAAAGCTCTTGCGACAGTGATTCTCCACGTCTTGGTGCTCAGACCAACGAAAACCAAGAACAAGCGAAGTTATTGGTTCAATCCGTTTAAGATGGTTGGAATCAGATTAACAAGTGGAACATTTTACCACCAGATAAACCACAAAGTTTCTTCAGCTGATTTGCTTTTAAACTACTTTTCTAGTGTTTAAAACCCGATGTTAAACATTCTCTGGTGATTCTATTTGCTTTATACGAGTTAAGGAAAAAGTGCCTTTTTTTTTTTTCGCATCTGTGAGGTTTTTTTTATTATAGAGGTCACGAATGGTAGTGTTACTTAGATGTTACTAGGTTAAGGTTTCTGTTTGAAAATGTGAAGTTGGCCAGATGTAAACACATCAGTTAATTTCACCACTGGACAAACAGCTGGATTTAAAGCAGGCAGGTGTTTTTATTTTCGCTTGGCTGTCAGTTTGAACAACATTTCAGTGATTAATATAAGTGGGAGAATTTTTTCAAAAGAATAGTTCGTGCTCTTGTGTAAAGTACCGTAATTTCCGGACTATAAGCTGCTACTACAAGCTGTCCTCCATCCTCCTGCAGGAGGAAGGTGAAGTTATCCTGATGCATGCTCAATAATCCAGGTGGAAAAATCTAACAAAGTTAAGTCGGGTCCTCTGGACGGACGAAAACAAAATAATTTAAAAAAATTAAAAACTTGTTGAAACATTTTTTTCTTTTATCCAAAAGACTTTGTCTGTCTGAGGAGCTGGTCAGAATCATATGATCATGAATCGGCCATTTGTAAGAAATGAAACATCAATTTTTAAAGTTGAAAACGTTGAGACTATAATCAAGACATAAAATAGCATTTCATGTTAAAGATCATGGTGGTACATTTTAACTTGGAAGTTTTTATTATTATTGTGCAAAGCAAATGAAAAAAGAAAAATGTTAAACAACACAGGAAAGGGTGGAATTAAAGTGATACCTTCAAGTGTTTCTTTTTACTTTATTTTAGTAGTAAAATATTTCAGTACTTAAAATGGGTTTGAGAAAAGTTTCAGAACGACCTTTTTTGTTGTTTTCAGAACGATTGTTACAAACTGTTACATGTAAAGTCTTAAAACATTTCGATGTGGAGTAAGTCTTTCAAAAAACTTGGAAAGAATTTGACTTAAAGAAGTAAATCTACCTTAAGTTACTCCGGAAAAGAGACATAAAACAAAGATTTTTAAAAAATCCTGGAATGAGGATGAACATGTGGAGCGTTCACTGAACGTTGGAAATTTAAGCATCTGCAGAGAACTGTTTAATCTTTAACTTCCTGTCAATCCAACAGTTACATTTCAACTATAAAAACAATTTTAATAATTTTGTTGTTGTTTAATATGTTGTTTGAGTTTAATGTCATGTTTCTTACTGTATAATGTGTATAAGTTTATAAGATCCCTCATTAACCAAAAAAAACTTGTCCTGTTTGTAAATTGAGTTGAGGTCATTTTATTTTTATATATATATATATCTGCAGTGTCTCAGAATGAAAATTATAAATTGCAAAGTTCAAAACTGAGCATGAACTAAATGTTTTTAAAAAAGTGAATTTGCAACATAAAATGTTGCTAACATTGAAATTTCTCAGGCTTTTTGAAAAATGCACTTTAACTAAATAAATAATAAATTATAATTGAGGTAAAACCTACCTGATGGTTGCACCCGTGTAAGGATGATCAGATCTACAGAATGGGTCTGGTTTGATTCGAAGCAACTTGTTGCAATTAATAGACTTATTATTTTTAATTTTTTAATCATGTAACATTGAATTAAGTGCATGTGATTGAACCGAGCTGTAATTTGACTGCACTGAGTTGCGCAACCTGATGTTTTGCACAGATTACTTTTCGTGTGTGTGGACTGGGGGTTAATTCATCTGTATATAAAATAGCAAAGTTGCAATAAAATTCAGCTTTTTGTCAGTTAAAAACAGTGATTTGTCATTTTCATTGCTGTTGAACATCAATCAATAAAGTAGAATAATACGCCATTGAACTTGTGTTTATTTCAATGTCATGTTTTGACGAGTAATTTAAAACTATATATATATATATACGTGTGTGTGTGTGTATACACGTGTGTGTATATATGTATATATATACACGTGTATATGTATATATATATACACGTGTATATGTATATATATACACGTGTATATGTATATATATACACGTGTATATGTATATACACGTGTGTATATGTATATATATTTTTCTGTATATGTATATATGCAAGTGTATATATATATATATATATACACGTGGGTATATATATATATGTATATATACACGTGTTTATATATACATGTCTATATACATCTATATATGTGTATATATATACACACGTACGTATATATATATATATATATATACACATTTGAATATACATGTGTGTATGTATATATATATATATATATATATATACATACATCACTCATCTCCAGGCCAGCGGTCACTCTTTCAGGGATGAAGATGTTCACATCCTGGACAGAGAGGAACGATGGTTTGAGAGAGGAGTAAAGGAGGCCATCTTTGTGAAAAGAAACCGTCCATCATTAAACAGGGGTGGAGGTCTCCAAGTTCAACAGTCCCCCTCTTACAATGCTGTGATTGCTAGTATCACTCAGCCCTCTGTGAATAATAAACAGCCATCAGTGTGCTAATGATCCATCGTTAGGCTGATGGTCCTTCTTGAGCATGTGATCAGCTGGTTTTGGTTGTCAGCAGCAAAACTGGTTGATCCACTCTGAGACGGTGCTATTTAAGAGACTGAGCTGAGAACAGCTCAGACTGAGGAAGTCTCTTGGATGAGAGACGAAACGTTTATATTTTTTTGCCTTTTTTTTTTTTTTTTTTTTTTTATGTCCAGAGGACCAGATTGAACTTTTTTGGACTCTTGGTTAATCATTAAATTCTCCAAACCGAAAGCAGTCAGTCCAGATTTACAGCAGGTGTCAAAGAAGAACAAGGACGGAGAGAACCAGCAGAGAAAACTGAGTTTAAACTGAGGAACTGAACCTGACGGGTTCAAAATGTTATTTCTCGCTGCTTTAGTCCTTTTGGGGACAGGACTGACTGTGAACAGCGGTAAGTTCCGTTTTTTTTTTGTTTTTTTTTCACAATTCAAATGTAAAAACAACACGTTTGCCATTTTGTTCATTTCTACTTCCTAGTTTAGTTGATCCATTTGTTTATCTTTTACAGTAGTATCAAATGGTGAAATATTTCATATAAAAACATGATTCTTACTTGAAGTCTACTTTTTCCAAATAATTAAAGATATGACTATAATTAATTAGTTGTTTTTTAAAAAATATGCAACTAAAGACATTTGTTCAGAAACAATTTAGGCTAAATCTGAAGCAGATCATCACTTATAAACTTTGAGAAAGTTTTAGCCACCTTTTTTAACTGTAAACATTGTTTTTAATTTAAAGTTGATACATGAGAAAGAAAAAACACTTATAACAGTGTTATTGCTGATATAACAGTTTTATTTCTTATAAAGTTTAAACATTTTACTTAACTTGTGGTTGTACTGACGTAAACTGATTTATTTAAAACACCTTTTTGATCCATGAGAGACAAAATCCAGTAAAATTCAGTTGTGATTGTTTCAGGTAAACAGGTGTGGCAGTCATATACAGGACTGGCAGCATTACTCAGATTACTGACATGATGACTGCTGTCATAAACAATCAACTGTAAAACTTTTAGTTCCTGGTTCAAATTCAAGGGAAACACGTACAAAAGATTAGGGTTAAATCTTTTTACGTTCAAAATTAAAAGCAATATTTTGGTTTATTTAGCCTTTCATAAGAAAAAAAATTATTTTTTTTTCAAAGTCATATTTTCACCATGTTATTCATACATTTATAAATGTCATAGTTCCTAACTAAATATTTAATTTACAAGCTAAATACTTAAATTGCAAGGTAAATATTTAAACCGTTAAACTATAAGCTAAATGCTAAATGAATTAAACTGGGCTTGCTCAGTAAATAACATTTAACAAATTGGCAGATGTTTGCAAAGTTTTTTCACATTATTAATAATCTGTTTTCTACCTCTATGATTTTTAGAAATCCACTCCCTGACCTACATCTACACGGCCTTCTCCAAACCCGTGGGTCTCCCGGGCTTCCATGAGTTCACGGCCATGGGTCTGCTGGACAACAGGATGATTGACTACTACGACAGCAAAGAGCAAAAGAAAGTTCCCAAACAGTCGTGGATGAAGGAGAATCTTGAGCAGGAGTACTGGGATAAAGGCACGATGTCCAGGAGAAGCAAGCAGCAGTGGTTCAAGGTCAACATTGACATTTTGATAAAGCGACTCAGACAAAATGACACAGGTAGGACTGAATGAAAGTAGCTAAAATCATAGTTAACAAGATAATATTTTGTTAATCTTCCCTAATGGTAAAGTTATTCCTTATGAATCATTCACACAATGCAATGGTAACAATCGTTACCTGAAACTGTTCCGTACGTTTTCTGCATCTAACTCGTTCCGTAATTTTTGTGCTATTTCAACAATTCACATATCAAAATGTTCAGCTCATACTGTGACTTTAGCTATTGGTGCAACTTTAGCTTTTTGAAATATTTGAAATATTTAGCCTTTTCTGCCATTTTTTTTCCTCATTGAGCTCATTTTACATCCTCCATCCTTTAGCTTTGTTAACAACCTTTTACTGCTCCTTTCACATTTTGTTCCAGTTCAGCTTCTTTCAGCTTCCTTTTGTACATTTTTTTAAATTCAGCTATTATCAGCTAATTTCAGATGGTTTTTTTCCAGCTGTTTTGTGCTCTTTTCAGCTTTATTCTGCTAACTTCAACATTTGTGTACTTCTTCTAACTTTTTTCTGCTTATTTCAGCTTGTTAAGTTCTTATGCAAGTTTCAGCTATTGCAGCTATTTCAGCTACCATTTAGCTGTTTTATGCTCATTTTAGCTTTTTCAGCTTATTCCACATTTTTTGCACTCATTTAAACTTTTTTTAGCCTAAGTCAGCAAAAATGTGCTCTCGCCACTTGCTTCTAGTATCTTAAGCTTCTTTCTGCCTTTTTAGCTACTATTCAGCTGTTTGCGTGTGTGTGCGTGCAAATTTCAGCTTTTTTCTGATAATTTCCACTTTTTGTGCTTATTTCTGCTTCTTTAAGCTTATTTGGGCACAATTGTGCTCTCTCCACTTCCTTCTGGTAATTTAAGCTTCTTTCAGCCGTTTCAGCTACTTTTCAGCAATTTCTTGCTCCTTTCAGCTTTCTTTCGGCTAATGCATTAATTTTTGTGCTCATTTCTGCTTATTTAAACCAAATTCAGCAAATATGTGTTCTTTCTGCTTGCTTCTGCTATGCTAGGCTTGATCTTCCATTTCGGCTACATTTCAGCATGTTTTCAGCTAATTTCAGCTGTTTGTCATCAAGTTCTTCAGTAATAAGCATTCACACTGCATTTTCGCAGGAAATGCACTTTATCTCGTTTTATTTGTTTGCTCCAAGATACCCATGTTCTTCAGTGGATGCATGGCTGCGAGGGTGAGAGTCAGCCTGATGGCACTGTAAAATTCATCCGTGGGATGGACATGTACAATTATGATGGAAACGACTTCCTGTCTTTCGACGATGGCAACCAAATCTGGGTCGCCACGACCGATGCAGCCAAAATAACCAAGAGAAAGTGGGATGATGTCCAGGTCCTGAGGGAATACACCAAAGGTTACCTGGAGAAGGAGTGTATGGACTGGATGGGCAAGTTCAGAGGCTTTGGGCAAGATCAGCTTAAGAGAGCCTGTAAGTTCATAAAAATAATGTTCTGCTTTTATTTTATTTTTAGTATTAACAAAGATTCTGAATGCAGATTTAGTAATAAATGGAAATTTAACCTGCCATAAATGTGGTGACTTCAATGCATCGTTAAGTAGCTTTCCATTTTCTCTTTCCAGCTCCACCTGAGGTGTTCTTGTACTCCCAAAAAAGCACAGTTGACACAAACATTATCTTGACGTGCCTGGCCACGGGCTTCTACCCAAAAGATATCAGCCTGCATATCAAAAGAAACGACCATGTCCTAACCAAAGAGGATGGAGTGGAGACATTCGGAGTTCGTCCCAACGAGGACGACACGTTCCAAAGAAAAGACCGTGTGGAGATTTTGAAGTCTGATGTTTCCATCTACACCTGTGAAATCATTCATAAGGCCTCCAACATGTTTGTTGAGAAGAACTGGGGTAGGAAACTTTATAATGTTTAATTAGTTTTTTTTAGTTTTGTTTTGTTTTGTTAGCCTTTAAATTTTCTCAAGGGACCAAGTGCTCTCCAACTGACTGACCTTACGTGATCATAGCCACTGCTGAATTTGACGTTTGGTTAATTCTTGAAAATGAGTGCTTCAGGCAGCTGGAACATTTTTAGATTTTTTTATCACCTCCATAGAGTTACAGTAGACCCTCGATTATTGCGGGGGTTACTTTCCACACACCACCGCGATTGGTGAAAAACTTTGACGTAGGAACGTTATATTTATTTTAGTATGTTTTGTATATTTTAAGTAGGGATGCACAATATTATCGGCATAGTATCGGACGATATTGGCTTTAAAGTTAAATATTGGACATCGGCCATTCCAACAAAATAACTCACCGATACAAAAGGCGCTGTTTTTGTATGACAACCCAGTGACAAGGATGCCTGCAGCGCCAGCACAACGTGATGACGTCACACTCGCCTACCTGATCTGACCACGGCGGAGAAGAAGAAGTCAAAATGTCAGCGGTGTGGAAGTTTATTTTTCAATGAGGATGTCAGAGTCTGAAGATTTTTGGACTACGTTGAGCCTCGCTACATCGTCCCCAGTTAGAGATATTTTTCCGACGCAGCCTTACCCGAGTTACAAGCCGTCATTTCCGACGTCATTGAGAAGCTAATGGCCAATACCACGTGAGTGAGTTGTACCACAGACCTACCTTCTACCTTCGGGACAAATTGAGGTCGTCGATTGGTCAGTTGCTGGATTGATTGACAGGTCGTGCCATCGAGGATCCGACTCGGTTAAAAACGAAAAAAAGAAAAAAAACAAGACCAGCGGCGCTGGGAGGAGGCGGGGCGGCCCAAATGCAGCGGAAGCGCAGTAGTCTCTCTGTGCAGCACAGGGCTCCAAGTAAAGCAGGAAATAACCAGATATTTTGCTTGTGCCCTGACTCCCCTGGGCCCCTTAGAGATCGTGGACCCCTGGGCACTTGCCCAGTTGCCCATATGGTTAATCCGGCCTTGGACGTCAAGTGTTAGCCCTGTAGTCTTACGGCACAATCGATAGACAAAAACCTTGAGCTTAAAAAGTCTGTCCTTCATGCACAGGAGTGCAGAGGATCCCACACTGCAGCTATAGGAACCTGGAACAAACCTCCACAAGTGAGACAGCATCGCAGGTGACTAATGCTAATAAATAACATTTAACACTTTTCATTTAATATAAGTTAAAGTGCTATGCATATGGCTGCTACTGAATATATGTCACTAGCTTTTACAGCTGTGACACAGTTTTTTTGTAGCAAATAAGCCTAAATAAGAGGGCTATGTTCTGGCAAAGGAAATTATATTTAAAAAATATCGGTGTTGGTTATCGGCCAAATAAGTTTCAACATATCGGCCAAAAATCCAATATTGTGCATCCCTAATTTTAAGGCTATATAAACCCTTCCCACACTCTTGTAATGTTCTAAATTCTTATACTTCATTTTAACAACATACCTACTGTATATGTACTGCACAGTAGCTACTGAAAAATTCTGTGTGGGTACTCCCCAGCCTTGGTCTGGTTCTGGTCCAATTCTGATCAGCTCTCTGCAGTTGTGCACCAGATGCTTTTGGAGAGAGCTGAACTTTCAGAGAGCCAGCACAAAACCACACAATGGTCCCGATCGAGTCCAAATAATCCAGATGGATCCAAATGAAAAAAGTCCAGGTGAGTTCCGGAGAGGACTTCCAAGCAACACCTCCCCGCACGAGAAGCTTCAAGGGCCGAAAACGGCACTCAGATTGACCGATGAGGCTGGAAGTAGTCCTGGTCCGGTTCTGGTTCGGTTCTGGTTCGGTTCTGGTTCGGTTCCGTAAGGCTCTCTGCATCCACTGAGCGCCAAAGTCACTGTGAATAGTCACGTTTGGATCGGATCAAAACTTGACTGTTGTTACAAAATGGCGGCGCCTGTCCAAAGTATTTATTTATTTTTGTTAACTTTTTTCTCGTACCGTCCCAATCACATGAGTAATATTAAAGTTGACAATCGTTGAAAAACCGCAAAAGATCGAGTCTGCGACAGTAGCGAGGAACTACTGTAGTCCCATCTTTTTGTGTTGCTGCATCACAGACAGAAGGACCAGTTTTGGTTCCTAGAACTCCTTCTGTACAAGCGTGCTGAAGCTTTTGGAGCTAAATAGAAACCTTTGAGTGATATAATGAGATGAGCTGTAAGCTCATGTTGGTTTAATCACTCCTTTTAAAACCTTTCGACATCATAAGCAAGAACTTCTTACTCACGTTCAGCATAAGAAAAGTAAAACACTGAGCATGTAGATCTGTGGAGTGTGCACATGCTACACAGATGTATCAAAAGAGAACTTAAAGTTTAGCTAAAGTTAATGTGTTTTTTTTGTTTTAGATCATAGTCCGCCTAAAGAAGGAGTAAACACAACCACTATCATTGGTGGAGCTGCTGTAGGAATCCTGGTGCTGATTGCGGCTGCTGTGTCGTTTATTTTGTATAAAAAGAGGAAATGCGACGAACGTAAGTGCAGCGTTCTGTAACGTTTGTCTTCATTAACGGGAGTTATTGCAGTTTTATTGCTCCTAGAATAAGAACACAACCAACAAAATAGCTGTTTTCCCATTAGACTAAGATTGAACAATAAAGTTTAAATTTATTGAACAGGTTTACTGAACAATATATTTAATGTACAATGTATTCACAGCAAACGTTTAAACCAGCAGTATATTGATTTTAGCTATAAAAAATAAGGTGCAGCTGTTGTTGTGTTCTTCATCAGGAGCAAAGGTCTGTGTTTTTCATTGTGGGTGTTGTGAAAAGCTCAAAGGTCACATTTAGTGACGGGACTGGGAATCATTATATGACATGTACACTCAGGTTACAATCTTTTACAGTATTAAAAAGTAAGCTTCTGCATTTTCTGCTTTTCATACATTCTGTAGTTGAGAAATTATTTTTTAAATCAGTTGAAATTCTGTAAATAAATAAAAAATAATTGCTCACAGAGTTGAGCTTATATTCTCCATATTTTTTTTCTCTTAAACTTTATTTAAAGTTGTGCTTGAAAAAGCAGAAATAAGAAGCAGCATCAACACTGTCATTTTGTTAACAACCATAACTCGTTAACACAAATTTAAGAACTAATTAAAATTGTCTAATACAAAAAAACAGAGGCTATTAGAATTGTATATACAGTTTTCCTGTTTTTAATTCATTATATCACAATATATCCTTAAATGAATCCAGTTTGCCCAAAATGAAATGATTTGGCTCTGTAATGAGGTTATGATTGTTTGTCAATATTATTCATTAATTATAGTGAAAATAATGTTTTATGTCATAGTGTTCTGTTACATAAATCTTCTTTTATAATTCTTAATTACATTCCTTTTCAAATATCCGTCCATCCATTATCTTTACCCGTTTATTCCACTTTGGGTCACGGGGGTCGCTGGTGCCCATGTCCAGCAATCACTGTGCGAGGGGCGGGGTACACCCTGGACGGGTCGCAAGTCCATCACAGGGACACATAGAGACAAACGAGACAAACAACCATTCACTCTCTCACTCACACCTAGGGACAATTTAGAGTTACCAATCAGCCTAACATGCATGTTTTTGGTCTGTGGGAGGAAACCGGAGTACCCGGAGAAAACCCACGCATGCACGGAGAGAACATGCAAACTCCACCCGGAAAGGCCCCTGGACCGGGGTTTGAACCAAGGACCTGCTCGCTGAGAGGCAGCAGCTCTACCAGTTGCGCCACCGTGCTGCCTCCTTTTCAAATATAAATATTTGTATTAAATTAAAATTGGTTTTCTACTTTTGCTTTATTTATTTATTTATTTATTTGCATTTCATTCATAATGGGTCTCATTATTTTAAAATTTCTAATTTTGTCAGAAAGTTGATACAAATAATTTGTCAATAAGTGTTCTAATTTATTGTTATTGTTGTTGTTGTTTTCCAGGCTGCAGTCGTACAATCGAGAGGAGCCCTTCATCAAGTAAGTACCGTGTTTCTGTGTTATAATAGGAGCTGCATAATAAGTGCTTATGTTACTTTTGCGTTGCATTTTGCTCATTTGAAATACTCTGACATAAAATTACCTTTTGATTTTACTGAACTATTTATATGTACCAGTACAAAGATACTGTATGTTAATATTTGTCTTGTTTTTATTATCAGGTCCAGGTTCTTCTATTAAAATGTCAAGTAAGTGCATTGCTTTATCACTTGTGAATTCTGTAATCATTATTGATTTTAATGTTTTATTCATGTTACATATTACATAAATATAGGATTTTTTAAAGTCCTGTATGACTTGATGGCTTTAATTTACTTTATTGCAGTGTTCTGTGACAGAGGTATACTTTTTTTTTTTTTGGCAGTTCAGATAAAAATCCATCAATTGTAATTTTAAGAACAAAAAAGTATTTTTGGCGTTATACGGTATGTCTTGACCTTAGTTTATTTTAACATTTTGTTCCTGTTGCCATTAGGCCAGAAATTCACTTTGATTTTTAAACAATAATAATAATATTCATATATTTTGGGGGGCCCAAAATCAATACAAAAAGTGCAACAAATACAAAAAAGGAGATTTGTAAATTTTATATATCCTGTGTGTGTGCAGGCAGTAACATAGGTGGCACATCGTCACCAAATCCCAATGGTAAGTATTTTATGCTAATAATTGTTCCAGTATATATTAAAAACCATTACTATATTAACATCTATGTGTCCTGCAGCTGCTAAAACCAGTAATGCAAATCAAGAGGACAAGCCATTGTTTACAGGTAAGTGTTTTTATTTATTTATTTTAATCCAGTTTTTTTATTTACCCCCAGTTTTACACTAAAAGTCAGTCCCATCTTTATTCTGTTGATGTCAATGCAGTGAGTTTCAGTGGATAATTAGGGTTAATAGTTATGAAAAGAACAACAAAATGCTTCGACCTTCACCGTCCTGAGCAGAACCAGAGTAAACACTTCCAGCTGAACCAGAAGTACAACTGGTTTTGCTTTGGCTGACAGATAAGGAAGGAAAAGAGACAGAAACTCTAAAACCAAGAATATCTGCTAAAAGAATAACGAATAGGAAGAAAAACACCAATTTAATGACAGTTTGGACGATGTACTTGGAGTGAATAGAAAAACAAAAGGTTTAAATGAAACACAATAAATTGAATAAAAGGCTGCATGCACATTGTAAGCAAGCTAAACCTGAATCCCAAACTTTAATGGATGATCCATAAACTTAAATGTTCCCACAGGTTCAATCAACAGTGACGACTTTGGGTACGAAAGTAAGTATCATTTAACTTCTGTTAAAAAGTGTTGGATAAGTTGTTGCTTTAGTAGACTGAAAAATATAAAATTAAATCTACATGCACGTAGGCTTATACGTTTTACTTCATAATGATGCATATGTGTTAAGAAAAGTCAGAGTCAAGTTGCAACATTTTAACACCGTTGTGAATTTCTACAGGTAAGGCGGAGACTTCAAGCCAAAATAGTGTCAACGCTGAAGAAAACGCAATCCAAAGTGAGAAACTACTGCAACAAAGTGAATGAGGTGTCTTGGAGCCATATCTACCAGTACTATTTGGTCTAACTGAAGTGTGCTTGGGTGAAATATTTATAAATAGTCAGTGTCCTTCCTGCAGTGGACAGCAGTCCATGTGCTCTTACTTTGGAGAAGCTGGAGGAGAAAACAGGAAGACAACCATCAATGCAAGGGGACACCAGTAAAACATTAATTCTTTACCATCTAAAACATTTTATAGCAGTTTAAGCAAGCATTATGTGATTTTTTTCCCCTTACATTAGTTTTACAGAATTTACAAAATAAAATAATTTTAACTGTAATGACATTTTTGAGGGTTGATCTGTTTGCCTCTTTATGGCTGTCATTTAACAAGTTTTGTCTACTGTGGTTCTTCATTCCGAGGCTGGGTGGATTACTTTCTGCTAGAAGTAAGACGATGACCTCTCACAAGTACCATAATTTCTGGACTATTGAGCGCACCCAAATATAAGCCGAGCCCACCAAATTTTTATTTTTTTATTATTATTTTGTACCTATATAAGCCACACTTATGTACAAAGTATAAGCCACAGGTGTCCACGTTGTAACATGAGATATTTACACAGAAGGATTTTTTTAAAGCTTTTAATTAAATATGTACTGGTAACAACACCAGGGGTTCCAACCCTGGTCCTTGAGGAACACCATCCTGCATGTTTTAGTTGTTTCCTCTAGAGACACACCTGATTTTAATAAATGGGTGATTAACAGGCTTCTGCAGAATGAGAGGACGTAATTAAATCACTGAATCCTTCCACTAAATCACTTCCTTCCTTAGATAGAGAACTTTACTAATTGCTTTTTATGTGTGTGAATGTTTTTGTAAAGTGCCCTGAGACAACTTTGTTGTGATTTGGCGCTATATAAATAAACTGAATTGAATTGAATCAGGTGTGTTGAAGCAGGGAAACAACTAAATCATGCAGGATGGTGTTCCTCAAGGAACAGGGCTGGGAACCACTAACACATATAGATACGAACAGTAAAAACTTTTTCTGAACAGTGCCTGTAACACGGTTGGTTAATTTTTTTTAAATAAATACAGCAGCCTACTAGGAAGTGCAAAGCTTATGTGCAGTAGCTCTATTTCCTTCTTCGACAGTCAGGCCGATCGCCTTTAACTTGAAAGTTGCATTATACGCATGCCTTTTTGTGTTTTCCATGATGAGGGTCTGTGCATGAAGCACAAACTGATCTGAAGAACTTAGTGCTTTTGATTTACAGTAATTCAAAGTTTCATTGGCCCACTGTGACCAGTTCTTTTAAAAATAAATTAGCCGCAGCATTGTATAAGCCGCGGGGTTCAAAGCCTGTGAAGAAAGTAACAGCTTATAGTCTGGAAATTACGGTATTTCACACAACCTCACTTCAAAAGAAAAGTTCTTCTAAACCACAAATGCACAGGAGGAAGAAAAAAATATGAGGATGAGAAGTTGTTAATAACTAACTTTGTTCACCATAATTTGAATGTAAGATTTAATTTGAAGGAGAAACATAAATTCAAATTTGGAAAGAAAAGTTTTACATCAGCTGTGATGCATGAATGTGTAACAAGAAAAACATTTTTCTGTGGGAAAAAAAAAAAAAAATGTTGAAATGCTCCAAAATTGTTTAAAATTATTTGAATTAAAACATTTTTAAATTCTAGCGACATAAAACGTAACGTTCTGTGTATGTAGCACTTTTAACTATCATTGAAGCATTATTGTTATTTTTGTGAAATCATAATAAATGTAAAGGACTGGAAATCTTTTGGATAAACTGAGTGGAAAAGCAAAAATAGGGAAGTGTTGTATTTTTGTGAAAAATACTCTTCTCTGAATAAAATGATTGAAACAGTTCATTAAAATAATTTGCAGTTTAAACATTTTAAAGTTCTTGTTTTGGGCAGAAAACCTAACTTGATGGTAAATAAATGATTGTTTAAACCCATAAAATATTTTAAATGTATAGATTTTTGTATTCTTATAATGCCTGCAGTCTTAGTAATGAAATACAAAATATACATCTGAAATGCTTATAACTATTTTTACTGTTATTTCTGCGCTTTTATGTTTTATCATTGTTGTGTTACTGGTTATGTAATTAAATCTAAATGTGCTTTTTTTTTTACTTAACTCTTATAATCTGTATTCTTATTAAAAATGTTTGCCCAGTCCTTAACACTGAAATATTATGTTTATAACCTCTTTATAGTTCAAGATGGTGACCGGGGTTGTGGGACGGTTTGAGAAACACTAAGTATCTAAAGATTGTCTCAAATATTTTAAATTATGTTGAATTAGGATCATTGAAGCTGATTCTTTTGCACTTTCTTTTGGATTATCAGTTGTGAACTTTTGAATAATCTGGATTTGATAACAATTGTACTTTGCAACAACAGTGTGATTCTCCTTCCTCTTTCATTCAAAAGAAAATAAAGCTCATATTTCTTGCAGGTTTCAGACAGTTTCAATAGATGGACATTTTTTTTATTTGTGTGCTTGCAAGTAGTGAAGTGTGACAATATACTTTTTCAGAAATCACATGTTTTCCACAACAAAGTTGTAAAAAAAAAAAAAAAAAAAAGGCAGATTTTTGGATTGTACTGTAAATTTGTCTGAAATAAATGTTCCTTCTGAGGAAACGTCTGGTTGTTTCAGCTCTACTCCACTAGAGCTCTGTAATCAGACTTAAAAGATCATGATACACTTTGGTTTCAGTACCGCAATAAGTACTGTATCTGTGAACAAATCAGCGGAAAGCTTTGTAGCAGTCAGACTTCATGGGCCACATCTGTAGTAGACACAATCTAAACATGAATCGGAATAGATTTTTTTAGAGTTAGGATTAAAACAATTAGAATTCTGCCTTCGACAACAGAATTAGTGCACTATCCATTGCGGCGCTGGCTCCCCATACACGTAGCCCTTTCACCCCACCCAGGTCTTCTGTTACAAACCAACTCAAAGTGCTTCGAGGAGGAAGAGTATCCAGTGATGCAATGGGCCAGGGGTCCTTGTCAGAGTCCAAGTCCAGGGTCAAAGGTCAAAAGTTTTGTTGTCAGGGTTACAAGTCAAATTTACGGTCAGAAGGTTAGGTTTCGGACAAGGGGTCCTGGATTAGGTTTAGGGTCAGGAGTCCAGGTTAGGTTTAGGATCAAAGGTCAGAGGGTTAGGTTTAGGGTCTAGGGTCAGGATTAAGGAAAATCATTAAAGGTTAGGTTTTGAGGTCAGGGTTTACATTTAGGTTAAAAGTCATTGGTCACAGTCTACAAAATAAAATAAAATAAAATCAGGAAATAAAAACAGGAAATAAAAACCACATCACATTGAGGGTTAGGGTTCATGTGCTTCTTGTTAAGTCCAGTTCAAACCAACATAGACAAATAAGTTAAAAAAAAATTACAAATTTCTTCAAGAATGTTTTTGAGAAATTCTACTCAACCAAAAGCATTTTAGCAAACTTATATTACATTATTAAATATTTAAAAAACATTAACAAAAACCTGTAAGAGGTGACAGTCATTTAAATGTGTTCCTGGTTGAAATGATGCAATGTAGTTTTAGAGTTTGTCTGTAGTTTGGTTCATTCTAAACATATATCAGGCAAAAAGATGGAAAAACAAGGCATTAACATATTTAGTCAGAAAACACGTTTGTGCAGACTTTGTTTCCTTTTATTTACAAAACTAAAACCACCAAGAAAAGGCATTGTGGGGGCTGGTAAATTATACTAATAAGAAGCAGACTTTACCTTAATTTATTTTTTAAAAACTGCAAAATGTTTATTTCTAGACACAGATTTTCACATTGAAAATAAATCTAAATTTCGTCTCTTTTTAAGCTCTATTGTTCGTGCTTGTATCACTTCATGAGACTTCCGTTTGAGCAGATTTAAACCAACCACTATGGAGCACAAGCCAGTGCATTTCTTGTACTGGTCCCAAGTTCAGGTAAATGGTGAGGGTCGTGTCAGGAAGGGCACAGACGAAAAACACTTTAGCCAAAATCAGCGTTAGGGAGACGTGTGTGTTTCTCAGAAATCACAAATATTTATTGATACCAAGATATATTTAAATGTACATAAACAGGATTCAGGTTTTTAGATGGGTCTTGATGAAATGTTCACAGTCAGAGATTTATTTGTCATACACACCACATGTGGTACATGAGGTGGGATGAAACTATGTACACAGGGTCCAAGTTAAATCCAACAAAAACACAAATTGTAAAGAAAAACAGTAAGATCCTTAAGATTACCATAGTAAGATCATTAGTAAGAAATGTTCTTTCCTTTGAGAAAATACTAGAATAGATTGTTCTGTAAATTAGAGTAATAAGACAAGAAAGATTTCTACAGACCATTATGATGAGACTACTTGAGTCATATTGCGAATAAATCATGAGAATAAAATATCAACTTGTTTCCTATTTGTTTAGACTAGAATGCATTGATTGTAGCAATGTCACTACATTTAACTTATTGTATTATAAAAAAAAACGACGACATTTCATTTTCTGTGATGACAATGTCAGCGTATGTAAATAAAAACAAGTGAAAAAACAAAAAAAACTGCAGGTTTATTTTACGTTCATTACGTCATGACGTCACTAGGCGGCGGCAGAACTCTGGCTTTTAAATCGACGCAGCGGCTTCTGTTTGGTCCGGTCGGCTTATCAAGCAGTTTGGGTGTGTTTGAGATTCAGTTCTCGATCTACTGACGGAACAGGCGGTGCTTCGTCTCAGCAAAACAGCCGTAAACACTTTTGAAGGTAGTCATGCAGGTTCCTTCTCGTTTTTATTCTTCGGTGCTATAGCCGCTAAGCTAACAGTAGCAATCCCCACGGCTCTTCAGTTTGTGCGTGCGTCGTTGCCATGGTGACGCTCCGAGATAGAGGTAAAAGGGACGGGGTTCAGAGCAGCCGGCCGCCCCTGAGGCAGCTCAGGTCGGCCACAGGCTCCAAGACCACTCCGCGATGTGCACCAGAGACCCGGAACAGGCGTGCGGTGACCCGGCCACAGGAGCGAGGAGTTTCCGATGTGAGTTCGTTTCTGGAACACCTCACGCACTCGTAAACAAAGTTTAACTGCATCATTTAAAGTTCAATTATTCGTTTGTCATGTTGTGTGAAGTGTTGTTCTGATGAGATCTGTGTTCCCAACATCTCCAGTAATCCGCTGAAATATATAGAAACACTCTCGGTTTATCATAAATTAAGCTGTTGACAAATTAGTGAGCTTATTTTCAAGAGAAGCAATCTTTACTTTTATTCTCAACCACCATATTCAGGCTCCCCCATTACAATGAATACAAGAGAGCAAAATCTTTTGTTAATTTTCTTAAAGAGGCAAGCATTCAAAATGTTTATTGTCATGTGCACAACTGGAAACGTGTTTCCCTGAGCAAATAAGTTCTTACTTTGTTGTCCACAATCAGTGACAAACTTAGAAAGTAAGCAGCAAAGTAAAATGTGAAAAATGTAATATTCAAAAGGTGCAAATAATTTCAGTTGAGTGACAGGAACATTCAGTTGTTTTATCATTGTTTTTTACTTCACATTTTTAATCCACTAAGTCAGTTTATGGTCTTCGTCATTATACAAGGTAAACATGCCATAAATGCTGTTTAAACAACAGAACAACATATTTTAGAGAAGTTTTACAAGTAATAATTGTATGATCTAGCACTTTTATTTGTTAACATTTGTTTTATTTGTTAATGCCGTATTTCATCATCTGTTGTAGAACTGCCCTTTTTGTTTATTTGCTTAACTGTCTATCTTCACTTTTCTCAACTTTTTATTTATTTACTTGGCTCCTTAAAGAAGTTGCATTATTTTAGCTGTGATAAAAAGTACTAAAATTATTAGCAAAGACAGTTTTGTTTTGTTGTGTTTTTATTTATTTATTTGTTTGTTTGTCATAACAAACAAACTGACAAACAAACAAACCACACTGCGCTCAACCACCTGGAGCAGAAAAACTCTTACGTCCGTATGCTCTTTGTGGACTTCACATCCGCCTTCAACACCATGATCCCCCAAACCCTGATGGACAAACTATCCACACTAGGACTAAGCCCCTCCATTTGCAACTGGGTACTAGACTTCTTAACAAACAGACCACAGTCAGTGAGGATCCACAACTTCTCCTCCTCCACCATAACCCTCAGTACTGGCTCTCCTCAGGGATGTGTGTTGAGCCCCCTCCTGTTTACTCTGCTCACGTATGATTGTGCAGCTACCCATCCAGGCTGTCACCTTGTAAAGTTTGCAGATGATACAGCGGTGGTGGGATGCATCACAAACAATGATGAGTCCAGCTACAGGCAGGAGGTGGAACACCTGGAAAGCTGGTGCAAAGAGAATAACCTTCACATCAATGTGATGAAGACAAAGGAGATGATTGTGGACTTCAGAAGGAACAAACACACCTACACCCCCCTGAACATAAGAGGATCTGCGGTGGAAGTGGTCTCCAGCTACAAGTACTTGGGTGTGCACATGAATGACAACCTCCGCTGGAGCAACAACACCCCCAGCCTGATCAAGAAAGCTCATCAGAGACTCTACTTCCTCAGACGGCTGAGACGAGCTGGTCTGGGAAGCTCAGTCCTCACCTCCTTCTACAGGTGTGCAGTGGAGAGCATCCTGTGCTCGAGCATCAACGTATGGCATGGAGGCTGCACAGCTGCAGAAAGAAAAGCTTTGCAGAGAGTGGTGAAGGCTGCACAGAAATCTGTTGGAGTCAGTCTCCCCACCATCACAGACATCTACACCTCTAGATGCAGGAAGAGGGCCACCTGCATCATGAAGGACCCCACTCACCCAGCACACACACTTTTTGCCCCACTCCCCTCGGGAGGGAGGCTGAGGGGCACTGAGTGTAGAACCACTAGACTGAGGAACAGCTTCTACCCTGAGGCTGTTAGACTCATGAATCTCTAACCAGAATAATCACTGTGAAAAATCACATCATGTTGCTGCTGATCTGTTTCATGTTGCTGCTGATCTGTTTCATGTTGCTGCTGATCTGTTTCAATGTTGATGTGTTCATGCGTGCTCATCTGCTCACAGACTCATGTTCATGTTTGTGCTGATGTTCAATGTTTTATGTTATGAGTGCTTAGTGTATATTTAGTTGATGTTTTTCTTGGTTCATATCTTAGATGTTATTACTGTTTTTCTTAGACATTTTATTGTTGGATGTAACTGGGACCCTGTGTACATAATTTCGCTCCACCACATGTACCACATGAGGTGCGAATGACAATAAAGAAACTCTGACTCTGATAACTGGTGCTGTCCCTAATCAACAAGTGAAGTTCATTTATGTAATATAGTTTTGCCTTATTGTCTATGCATATAACACATTTCACATGTTTATCTTGAAATTTTCTAAGAAGTAGATTAATAACAGAAATGCAGCAACAATACTTTTAACATCTAACAGCCAAACTGTCAATGGGACTGAAAATGTTCAGATATTTCACATCGTTAGGCAGATTTTCCAACACGTTACAGTATAAAAAGAAAAATGTAAAACTGAAATATTAATAAGGAACCAAGCTGACTTTCTCTTTTGTTGTTTGGATTTTTATGTTGAATTTGTTATTGCAAATGCTTTTTAAATTGAATAAATGCCTGAACCTGCACAACTTTTCAATTTTTGTCAAGTTTCCCTTACAAAAAGAAGTATATATAATGGTTGAGTTGTTAATTAAAAAGAGATCAGTAAATATTCAAGATTGTGCCTCTAAACCAGTGCTTCCTAAAGTTTTTTTTTTTTTTTTTTTAATGATTGTAACAAAGGCTCGTCACCCCATCTAGTGCCAGGTAAAATACGGTATATAAAACCTGTTAAAAACACTAAATAAGAATAGGAACAATGCCAACAGTAGAACTTTTATTCTTTTACAACTTCTGTATTTATTCTTTGTGTTAATTATGGTGAAAATAATGCAACAAGTAATCATTCTCAAATCTAAACTGATATCTGGAGATTATTCAAGGACCCACACTTAGTGTTTTATAACCCCAATTAGGATCATGACCCCAGTTTTATAGGAACCACTGCTCTAATAATATATTGGTGCACTTGTATACTGATTTACATGTTACTGCTGTGCTGCTCGTGGAAACAAAGCGTCGACTGACAGTGTGAGCATGACGTCGTGGGCATTTCAAGGCACTAACTTGTGAAATGTTCTTCAGGGACTTTCTGCTGAGGAAGATACACTGTATGTGTTTCTGCTTGATTCAGAAACACACAAGGATGAAGATCCAAAAGTGTTTCTGCTTGATTCAGAAACACACAAGGATGAAGATCCAAAAGTGTTTCTGCTTGATCCAGAAACACACAAAGATGAAGATCGAAAACCAGCGAGGAGCACCACGAGGTCAGGAACCACTTCTGAAATCCCTTTCAACTGGGACATAACCAGTGAAGGTTTGAAATGATTAGTCAGATATTTGAAATGCCCGAGGATAAAAACAGTTATCATAGAGCTGCTACGTTGTGTTTTGTTTTATTTGTGCCACTGAACAGATTCAGCTTGAAAAATAACGTTAAACTTTACGTGTGTATTATTTACAAATCACGGTATTACTTTAAAATAAATTGATAGAAAAATATTGTAAACTCGAAGCCACAATAATAAAAACTCCTGTAATAAAGTGAGCGCATTTGAGCAATTCTCAAAATGTTATGGGCCTTCAAAAGGGCTTAAAATTAGTATTTAAAAAACATAATGTAACAATAAAAATAATTGGGAACTACTCATTTTAATATTATACGATTTGTTATATGTTTACCACATATATAATATTTATATAACGTGTACAGTATTTATGCATATCAACAAAACTGAAAGAGTTATGGCATCTGTGAGATATTATCCTCTAGCATCTCAAGGTCAAGGTTTCCTTCATTGTCATTTGCCTCTCGTGTGGTACATGTGGTGGAACGACACTGTGCACAGGATCTACAGTGATCACAGACAGATTACAAAGCGCCAACAAAAAGAACGATCCTCTGTAATCCAGGGGATAGGATTATGGAATGGTCTGGAGGATACATTTAAAAATGCCAGATCTCAACATATATTTAAGAGAATGTTAAAGGAGAGTTATTTGACAGAATATGAAAAACTCCAAATTGAATCCACTAAAGTTATTGTTTGAGTTGATGATGTTGTTCTTCAGTTGATGTTGCTTTTAAATCACTGAAGTTGTTGCACATCTTGCTTTTTGTTTGGTAACAAGACAGTAAGGGTAAAAAAGGGGCAGATATTATAAGATTAACTCTTCTTCTGCTGCCTTTCGTTTTATTTTGACTGTATAATTTTTTTTTATTATTTTTGAGTTGTTATGGTTTTAATGCAATGAAATGAATAAATTAAAAGAAATCAGAAATCTACAGTGATTTGTCCCTGAAATGTGGAAAACAACTTGACGGAATAGTTTAGCTGATGTGAAATTCTCAGGTCAAATCCAAGCGTCTTCAGACTCGACTGAACAGAGTAAATATTCTGCTGAGCGTGTTTTTAGTTTTTCATACTGAGGTTTGTTTTGTGTTAACAGGAGATCCTCGAGGCTTCTGAAACCTTCAGGTAAAGACAGAAACAGAAAATGTTAGAATCCTGTCAAGGTTTTGAGAGTTCATCTTTAAAACATTTCAAATTAATTTGATGCCCTTTTATGTTTGGACGGGTGTTTATTTTCATTTTTATATATATATATATATATATATATATATAGTCACCAATCTCTTTGTCCCAGAGGAAGTCGTGTCCTTCATTTGACTAATTATGATTTCTCATCAGAATATTTTCCTCTTAAATTAAATGTGTGCACACCAAAACAGTTTTTAGATTGTGTTACATTCTAATAGCTGTTTATGTTTAATACATCTTATACACAATTCACACTTAACGTTTAACTCACTCACAGGTAAAATAAGTAACTCTGCTCATCTGACAAAAAAAAAGTGTTTTTTTACAGCGTGGCTTCCTTTTTGTTAATTTGCTCATAACATTTTGCAGAACAGTGTTATTTATAAGTAGGATGTAGTTAATAAAAAATAATTCTGGTTTTGTTTACGTTTTACTCATTATATTTGCTGTTTGTGAACGATATCATGCACAGAAATGTTCATGTTGTCCCAGGTGGCAGAAGGAGTGAGCCGAGGAGAAGCACCAGGCCGTCCAAACTGACCAGCAGATACCAGGCATCCAACATGTTGGATGGCCTCAGCAACAAGTAAGACCTCCGAGTGGCATCAAACAACACTGGAGCTGCAAGGATTCATCGTTTTGAACTCAATGCATTGCAAAAAAACCCAACATTATTTGTCTGGTTTTCAAGTTTCAAAATAGAGCAAATATTAAAGAACATCTATGTGTAGTAATGTCATGTTCTGATCAGGTTGTAAGGTGCATAAACCCTCAAAACCACCTCATTAGCTACATCTGTTCAATTGTTAGCACAAATAGCTAATCAGCCAATCACATGGCTGCAACTCTTTAGGCATGTAGTCGTGGTGCAGTCTATTTCCTGAAGTTCAAACGGCCTCAAAATGAGGAAGAAAGGTGATTAAAGTGACTGAATGTAGAAGGTTGTTCTGAAAGATTTTACAGTTCTTGATAGCTTTTTTTGTACTTTTGCTTAATAAAACAGTATGTTGATTAAATTATTATTTTTTATAATAATAATAATAAAAACAAAAAATACTTTAAAAAAAACAAAATCAGTCATTAAACCTCTTTTCCACCCTTTCGTTTTATGGTGTTGATGCACATCTCGAGTTGTGACACTTCTGTTTGCAAACATCTTTTATATTATCGCCAACACCCGTTCTCGGTTGTTCCTAATTTATGCTGAAACGTTTCTAAGACTGACATAAAATAAATTCAATGTGAAAAAGTACAGATGAACCAAACACGTGTTTCTGTGCAGCACATCGAGTGCACTGCTGAAGAGGATGGGCAACATGAAGAGGAGACTCGTTAGTAACAACAAAGAAGGAGTGAGTAACTCGCATTGTAACAATATATTAATTATTATGATTATTTATCAGAATAGCATCAGCAAATGAAGACCTAACAGAATATAAGTAGTATTTTTTAAAGAAAAGATGGCGCAACACATATTTCCCATGACACAACTTGTTTTGGAACATATAGAAAAATATAGATATTTTATTCTAATTTTTCAACATTGTCATTAAATTTGTTGTATGTATTAAATGAAAGCTGGATTGTCATCTCACACAAAGCCCCATTTTCTATATTTTCTGAGACATTTGTGTCTTTAAGCGGCCCCTGAAAGCAGCTGTTGACGTTCTGACTACGTTTACATTCGTCTGAGTCGGCTTTAAAGCCCCACTTGAAACTGAGCTGACATGCTGCCAGGGTGGACACCCCCCTCTCTTATCAGCTCACTGTGAGGGTGGTGCGTCTGCTCGCAGAACATGGGGAGGGGGTGACAACTCTATCAGCTGTTAACAGCCGAAAGCCTGAGGAGCACTAGAACATGTTTATGTTTATGTAACGTGAAGTTTAGAAGTTGACGGAGTTTAAATGTTGTAGTTGCGCTGTGGGTTTTCTCCGGAATCAATATGAACGATATTATCTTTGACTCAGATTTTAGATGGAGTGTACAATGTTTAAGATTCTTGTAGTCCCATCGTGAGCTTAAAAAAATAAAGACTGTGGCCTGTTAATGTTGTCAGACAATAAGAGGCAAAGTGTTAGCAGAAGCTTTCGTACATTAATCGTATGAGCAAGTCCTGTTTTAGTAATAATGTCTTCCTGAAATGTTTTTTTTTCTGTGTTGTGTGATGAGAACTAGCATCAAACTCCAATCTGAAACACATTACACCAAACCAAGTAATATCCTTGATTTTTATTAAATTTAATTAATAAATTATGATTTGTCGTTGGAATATTTTCTTCCGGGCTTCATTACATCATAAATCTATGCCAGTTCCAGCTGGGTGGTGATCATCTTTGCTGCGTTTTGAAACCTCAGTCTGCAGGTTCGCTGCACATTTATTAGTCTTTCCCTATTTTTAATTTCCCAGTCGTACGTCCCCCCCACCCTGCACTTGTTTCTCAGTCTTGTTTTCAGATCACAGACAAGAAATAAACGAGAGAAGTGATGATGACTGTTAAGCTGTTAAATATAATATAATTTGTAAAAAAATAATAATAATCTGGACAATTAGCTGTAAAGGTTTTTGTAGTAAAAGTTTAATTTTGTCAGTCTCAGTCAGCGATTTATTTGTATCACATGCTAAAGTTGAAGCTGCTGCTTTCTTTAAATGTGATTGAAGAGTTTGTGTGTCTGGTTTTCTCCGTAGCTTTGACTTCTCATTCAAAAACAAAAAGTTGACCTGAACTGACTGAATTATATTTTTGGCTATTTCAGAATGACATAGGCCTAACTTTAGATTTGACCTTAAAAAAAACTAGAACTTGTAAAATGTATTAAATTGTTTTTGGTCTGATAAATTTCCAGAAGATCTACTCAAAAGCCCAGAAGAGAAGAACACCAGTACCACCACAGAGAGACCTCAGTGACGGCGAGGATGGCAACGGTTTGTTCAAACAGGAAGGAGGAGTAAGGAAACGGGAAGACGTATTTATTGGTGAATATGTGTTTCCAGGTGAGACCATTGATGAGGACAGTGGGAACGGAACCGCTGCAGATGAAGACAGCAACTCCAGCGAGAACCAGAACTTTGATGCCAAACTGAGCCGAGCTTCATCGCTGTACCAGGGCCCCAGCGGTGGTCGGTGCTCTCCTGCCTTTTCACACAAAAAGCTCGTATTTCAGGACTATATTTTTCAATCTGTACAGTAAAAAGTCATCAAATTATTTTGACAGATTTTGGCAGCACATAATATTTTATTTGAAAGCGAACGATCAGCCAGTGGTCAACATTTAGCAGAAACGTATTTCTACAAAGAGAATTATTGAAAAGTTATTATTGTATTTTTCATTTATTATGACATACACATCATATAACCCTACACAAGAACAGTACGCACCCTCTTAGATACATATCTGCGTATTTGTTTAAATATACAAGAGATGATAACCCATAGTAGAAAATGTATTGTCTCTTATCGTCCTATCTGGTCAATCTTGTCCTTAGATGTCCTCTTCTTCTTGAGACATGTCCACACCTTCCATAAATGTCTTGAAAGGTCTCCATATGTTTTAAAATGCTTGCTTTCCCCTTTTTGAAGAAATGTTATCCGTTCCGGGGTAAAGTCATTAGCATTTGCCTAATCCATTGCTTGAATCCAGAAAAGTGCAATCAGCCTTTTAGCTTGTAAAAGACGAATATCAATTAATAGATGTTCACATATTGGGATACAGACCTAGTATGAACAAGCCCAGATCTAGTACAATGTCCTTTGAGACAAGATGTTCTATGGTTTGTTTTATTGCTATCCAAAATTGTTTTATGCTTTGATGATTTTTCCTTTTTCTGATAACGCTCAGAGTTTCAGAAAGGAACCCTTCGGATCAGCGCTTCAGGACCAAACACAACCCCCAGAGGGGCCCTCAGGTAAATAATTTATGTGGAAAAATTACAAAGAAAAAAACGTTTGAGCCTCATTGATTTTAAATATACAATCAATAATAAAAATGCTCATCTTTCTTAATTTGTTTTTATCCTGTTAAAGTAATGTCCATAAAATTACCATTGAAGCAAAGAAATTATTATTTTACAGTAAGCCATGTTTTTCTGTAACTTTTAAAATGACTTAATTTATTCAGAGTTATTGGTAATTTAACTTTACTTAACGTAACAACTTGAGTATTAGTCTTAATTGTTAGATTTGTCCTTAATAATTAGTTTTAGTAGAACTATTTAAAAATAATACAGATTAGTTTTTTTTTTAATACCTTGAATCAATGTTTACTTTTTTATTATTGGCTTTTTTAAACCGTTACCCTTGGAAATATTTCAGGAGCCATTGTGTCCGTTTGTTTTTTCTCCTATGTTTATTTAAGTTATATATTATATATGCACTTTTACATTAGCTTATGTTTGTTATTATAGAAACATGTTTATTTCAGCAAGGCGGTCAAAGAAAATTCAGATTATCTTTCAAAAATTTGACAATAGTTAATGTAAACGTGTGGACGTGCTTTTAAAAACAACAATGTTAAATACATATAATATTACTACACATCTTGGGGTATGTCAATATAATCTGTAGCGTAATAATCTATTCCCTCTGTTATGGTCTATGAGTGACTAACATCTGAATGTTGATCAAATATGTTTGGTGCTCTGGTAAAATTGTTTTGTTGATCATTTCCAGAAGATAATTCCTGCACGAACACTTTGTCCTTTACCTCAAGATACTCACCTGTTACAATTCTTTTCACCAGGCCCACTCGGTGTGCGCAGTCCAATCACTCCGAGGCTGACAGCTCTGATGATGAGGATGAAGGAGCCTCTAGCAGGTCAGTAAAAATGATCAATTTACTCATTAAGGAGTTTGATGTAAACTTTACTTTGTCCCTGACTGGAATGATAAACAGTTGTCTCTCATTTAGGATTTTATTTGGTTAAACTTTACTTTTATTTCTCCAAAAGTAAAAAAAAAAAAAAAAAAACACTGTCGTTGTATTCAGTGCTCACGTCATCATCATAACCTTTATTTACACGTAATATGTGTTTGCGTTTAGATTTGTTGTCACTGATGAGCAAGTACTTTTAACTTTGCCTTTACAGCTGCCGTCCGCTCGGCCTGCATACGGAGCAGCTTTTTAGTTCTTGCAGAGACAAGATGGCCAGAGGAGCAGGTCTGGCAGACATTGATCCTATGGCCATCGATCAATCAGTGAGTTGTGATGAAGTCATTTATAAAACTTTCAGTGACCAGTCTACCGGTGATTCTTATTCTTACTCCTTTGTTTCTTCCTTCGTCTCTTCAGGTGGGGTTCGACAGCATCGGAGGTCTGTCGGGTCACATTTCAGCGCTGAAAGAAATGGTCGTCTTCCCGCTCCTGTACCCAGAGGTGTTTGACAATTTCAAGATCCAGCCTCCCAGGTGACATCAGTTTGTGGTCTAAATGTAAAAAAAACGCATATCTAAATGTTTCTAACCTGTGAATATAGACTGTTATTACTCTCAGATTGAGTTTTTAAAATGTTTTGTTACAACTTACTAACACAGACAGCCAGACATTCAACTTGCATTTTGTAAAACATGATATATGTCTGCGTCTGTCTCCAGAGGTTGTCTGTTTTATGGCCCTCCTGGCACTGGAAAAACTCTGGTTGCCCGAGCGTTGGCCAACGAGTGTAGCCATGGCAACAGGAAGGTGTCCTTCTTCATGAGGAAAGGAGCGGACTGCCTCAGCAAGTGGGTGGGGGAATCAGAGAGGCAGCTGCGGCTGCTGTTTGAACAGGTAACTCTTCAACATATTCACCTGAGCTCACTGTGCTGCCGCCTGCTGGCCAACTGCAAATTAAAAAAGTTTACATCATGAAATACATTCACACTTTTAACGCTTTGTACTATTTTCAGAATAAATTATTGTTTACAAATGTCAGATGAAATGCGATTAAGCATCCTGTTTTTATATATATATTTAAAAAGCTACATATTTTACTACAAACTGAAAACAGGTTCTGTTGGGTTTTTTCTTTTAAATTGTTTCAATTAAATCAGATTTATTGTTGTATAGCTGTTATTTATTCTCAATATTCTATCATAGCTGAGCATTATTTTTTTTTAAGTTGTCTTTGGCTTCTAAAAAGTACATAAGCATTTATATCTATTATTAAACTATGGAGTAAATGAGAAAGGTACATATGTAACACCAAAGTCCATGTTCAATAATCCAGGTATAAAATCCAACAATGTTCAGTCAGGTCATCTGGACGGTTTCTGGTTTTTTTTGTGCTGCGACGTTTCACCTTCCATCCAGAATGCTTCATCAGTCTGAGGAAACACCAAACAAAACTGCTTCTCCCCCAACAGCCTATTCCAAAGTGGAAAAAAACAGTTATGTTGGTGCTAAGTTGGTCTCTGGGGCCCGCCCTCTCCCTCGTCTCCAGTCATGTCAAACTGGTTCAAAACACTAAAGTCCATGCGCAATAATCCAGGTATAAAATCCAACAATCCAATTCCACTTTGGAGTAAGCTGTTGTGGGGAGAAGTAGTTTTGTTTGGCGTTTCCTCAGACTGATGAAGCCTTCTGGATGGAAGGTGAAACGTCTCAGCACAAAAAAAAAAAAAGAAACCGTCCAGATGACCTGACTGAACACTGTTGGGTAAATACGTAACTTTAATGACTCTCGACCGTTATATTTTTGCCCCTCCGTCTGTTCTTCAGGCTTACCAGAAGCGTCCTTCTATCATCTTTTTTGATGAGATCGATGGTTTGGCTCCTGTTCGATCCAGCAGACAAGATCAGATTCACAGGTCTTTACAGTCATATTTAGCCAACCTCTGCTTTCTTTTTAAGGCCCAAAATGAATAAATAAATCACAACTTGTTTTTCAATTCTTGCAGTTCCATTGTATCGACTCTCCTGGCTCTTATGGACGGGCTGGACAGCCGAGGGGAAGTAGTTGTGATCGGAGCGACAAACCGGCTGGACTCCATCGACCCGGCACTGCGGCGTCCTGGGCGCTTTGACCGAGAGTTCCTTTTCAGCCTTCCTGACAGAGAGGTCTTTCTCTTACTTACCATTATTACTGCCTTCCTTCCTCTCTAACATTTTGTGTTGTAATTCACATATAGTTTACTTTTGAAGAATTTAATAGTCTTTATTTGCATCAACATGTTAGGTAAATTAGATGAAGTTATCCATTTTTATTATTTATTGTGTTTTAGTCTCGTAAAGAGATCCTGAAGATTCACACCCAGCAGTGGAAACCTCCTCCATCTGAAGAGTTTCTGGATGAACTAGCTGAAAAATGTGTTGGTAAGAGAGATCACGATACATTTTTCTTTAGTGTTTGCAACGCTGGATCGTTTTAAATTTACCTTCCTGAATCTCCACCTCTTTTAGGTTACTGTGGTGCTGACATCAAAGCGGTGTGCACGGAGGCGGCGCTGTGCGCGCTGCGTCGCCGGTACCCGCAGATCTATGGAACCTCCCAGAAGCTTCTGCTGGACGTTTCCTCAATCTCTGTCAGCAGCTGCGACTTTGTGGCAGCCATCAGGAAGATGAAGCCGGCGTCGCAGCGCTCCACTGCCTGTCCAGCCAAACCTCTGTCCCCTGTTGTTCAACCCCTGCTGGGCACCGCCCTCCGTCACATCCTGGAAGTCCTGCAGAGGCTGTTTCCTCACGCTGAGCAGGGAATGAAGAGGAAGAGGGAGCCAGGTGAGTCAAAGTTCAAAGCCGGAGACTCTGCTGCTGGGTCCATTCTTCCATCTTATTTACAAACATCACATCTGTTGTCTGCATGCAAGATCTGACTTCTGGTGTTCTTGACGATGGCCTGATGAGTGGAGAGGAAGAGGGCACCACAACATGCAGCATCTCTGCACCCTCTACTTCCCGGACCAAAAACTTCCTGTACTTTGCCAGGTAATTACCAGTATTAAAGCTGATTAGAAGAATATAAATGCATCTGGATGGTAACATTATTTAACCATATCAGCAAATCTGAATGATCACCTCAGAAATCTTCTCTAAGCTTTGACATAACTTCAACATAACAAAGTGTCAGATGTGTTAAATAGCTTTAATGACTCAGAACTTTAATCTGCCTTGTTCTCGTACATTTACTGTTCTATTTGCTCCTGTGCGGCTGTGACTGAGCGGTTAAAGCAGTCGTCATCCAATGCAAGAGTTGGGGGTTCGAATCCACCAGCAGTCACATGCCAAAGTGTCCCTGGGCAAGACACTGAACCCCTCATTGCCTCTGATGTGTGTCCCATCGATGTATGAATGTGATAAAGCTCTGATTAGTCTCTTTAGAATGATTTGTTCAATTAGCTTTGTACAGCTCTAGTAGAGTGTTGTATGAATGGGTAAATGAGACACAGATTGTAGTTTAAAGCACTTTGGGTATCTCAATAAGATAGAAAGGTGCTATATAAGTACAGTCCATTTACCATTTACCATTCCTGCAGGAGTGCAGTAAAACATCCAACGTCTCACCGCCCACGGATGCTCCTGGCAGGTCGCCCCGAATCTGGTCAGACCTCCCACCTAGCCCCCGCCATTCTGCACGCTTTGGAGCGTTTCACAGTTCACAGCCTGGACTCTGCTGTACTGTTTGGAGTCAGCTGCACCTCCCCAGAAGAAGCCTGCGCACAGGTGACATATATGTTAACTCTGATTCTCTAAATCAAAGTGAATTTTATTTTATTTAAAAACTCTTACTATCATAATTCAACCAAAATGCACGGTGAACTTACCTGAAACATGTAGACGAACGTGCTCCTCGGACCCTCAAAGGCCACAAAAATACAAGTTGCTCCGTGCATGTCTGTTTATTTTGAACAACCATGCATTTAAACTTTTGGGTAATGAAATTTTAAAATCCTTTTTCATTTGATCAAGATCTTGGAAGGACTTTAAGTCACTTATTCCTGTTGAAATGTTAAAAATGCCCTTGAAGATTTTAATATCAAGTTTGCTGTTAAACAGCTGTGTTTTGCAACAGAGAACAGAAATTGGTTTAGTTTATACACTATAATCTCATAATTTACTTTGGGTTACAGGTTTGATGATTAAAATAAAGTTTATTGTAATACTTTTACAGAAAGAAAACTTGTCTCGTGTTTTATTTTGAACAAGATGGACTAAACTATGCCCTTTACTGTCATCAAGTGGTGACAGCAGGAAGCTGCAGGAGGAAATTAAAATAAAAAGAATGACAGAAAACCAATAAAATATCTTATAAAAACACCACAAACTGGGTTCTCCCTCCTGATCAGGTGTTCTGCGAAGCCAAGCGGACAGCTCCCAGCATCCTCTACATCCCTCACATCCAGCAGTGGTGGGAGACGGCGGGACCAGCACTCAGGGCCTCTTTTCTCAGCTTGCTAGAAAGCATCCCCTCATTTTCTCCCATCCTGCTCCTCGCCACCTGTAGCATCCCTCATCAGGACCTGGACTCAGAGGTGAAGCCTGAACTTTGACTCAAAAGTAATATTTTTTAAATCTTAAAAGATTGCTGTAGATTTTGCACTATTTTCTGCACTTTTGGATCCTTTTTTGGTCAAAACCAAAATCAAATATGCCACAAATAATTAAGAAAAAAAAAACTAACTTGTAACAATCTGAAATTTGTCTTTATTCTCAGATTCAGTTTTTGTTTCGGGAGGAGTACGGGGAGGTGTACACCATGAGTGTTCCAACCAGGAAGGAGAGAATAGATTTCTTCAGTGATCTCGTTGTGAACCAGGCAGCTGAGCCTCCACCCTCCAACAATAAAGCAGGTATGTTGTTCAGAGACTTTGATTCGGGGTCTTTCTTGTGCTGATATAGGTCGATTACACTTATTGTAAAGTAAAAGATAAAATGGACTAATTGATGCTTTTCTTTTAAAAATGTTTTAATCCTCTGCCTTGTCGGTAGCTCAAACCATGGAGATCCTCCCTGTGGCTCCTCTGCCTCTCCCACGACAGATGTCTGAGCAGGAGCGCCTCCGTCTGGAGGAGCAGGAGGAGGACGTGTTGAGAGAGCTCCGTCTCTTCCTGCGCAACGTCACGGAGCGCTTGATGCTGGACCGCCGCTTCAAGGCCTTCACCAAACCAGTTGACATCGAGGAAGTAAAGACGTTTTGTTCAGTGTTGAGGGTTAACTGTTATACTCAAAGACTATAAGTTTATTTTTTGAGGAAAAGCAGAGCAGTGTGACCAAAAAAAATTACTGTAATTTCCAGACTATTGAGCGCACCTGAGCTGAGCTGAGCCTGCTAAATTAAAAATAAATAAATTGTACATGCTGTATATAGGCCGCACTTGTGTATAAGCTGCACGAGTCCACATTGTAACTTGAGAGATTTACACTGAAATTTTTTTAAACTTTTAATTAAATACGTACCGGTAACATACACAAATACGTACAGTAAATTTCTGAACAGAGCTGGTAACATAGCTGGTAAAAAAATAAATAAAAATACAGTAGCCTACCAGGAAGTCTGACAAAGTTAAGTCAGGTCCTCTGGACAGATGCTTCTTGTTGAAATGGTATGGTATAAAGTTTATTCATTTTAAAAAACAAAACAATTCCATAAACTATATATAAAAAAAATACAAGATATTTAAAATGAAAGGCGGCAGAAAGAAGAAAAAATCTTATTATATCTGCCCCTTTTTTCAAACAATTAGTTCAATGATAATAATCTTCAAGTAACAGAACAAAACGAATAACTAATTTTTCTAACTAATACAATACACACTAAGCTACTTCATATATATATATTTTTAACAATTCAGCTTTGATCTTTTTCTTAAATGTACACATTGACTTGGCATTTTTAACGTCACTCTAAACCATTTTTAAAGAGAGGAACTACCTTAGCTACTTTGAAATGTTTCAACTTTCATCTAAAAGATTTCATCAGTCCGAGGAGCTGCAACAAACTCACTCTTAAAAGCACCTTCACATAGTGGGTCAACCAGTTTGATGGTGCGCAGATGGTTTCTGGTGTCCGTCTTCTCCCCCGCCGACTTGTCGGAGGCAGCCATGGCTTTCTCGTTGAAATGCTTCATCTTTTATCCAAAAGACATCGTCAGTCTGAGGAGCTACAGTAAAGTCCCTGCTCCCCTGTGTAAGCTCCTTGTGCCAACAATGGGGAGGGGAGGGAAACCACGTTTCATTGGTCCACTGTGACCTGTTCGGTAATTTCATTGGTTAGATTTTTTTAAAAACCTTTTTATTTATAAAGGTTGTCTCATTGAGTCATGAGGACCAACCCCCCAAGACAGGCATGTATTGGGCAGCTATGTGAACACAGAGTGTGACGAGGCTAAATGTTTTGACAGCACGAAGCTCGCTAGCCCATACATTTTTTTTTTTAAATCCATAAATTTGCCACAGAATTGTATAAGCTGCGGGGTTCAAAGTGTGTGAAAAAAGTGGCAGCTTATAGTCCGGAAATTACGGTAACCACGTTTCTGCAAAATTTAATCAAAGGATCTCTAAAATGTAAAAGTACATCTTGTGTCCTCCAGATCCCAGACTACCTCTTGGTGATCAAGAAGCCCATGGATCTCTCCACGCTGCTGAGCAACATCGATGAGCAGAAATATGTCACAGTCAGTGAGTTTGTGTCAGACGCCGACCTCATCTGGCAAAACGCTCTTGAATACAACCCTGACAGCGACCCGCTGGGTGAGACGCCACTAGAGACCTGAGCACCCAGACTCAGTCTGTACATGGACAGTAGAGAATTCAAAAGTAGTTAGTTTCTCCTTTTTTTTAAAAACTTGCTATCAATTGAAAGCAAAAACAGATAATTTCAAGTAGAGGATTAATAAAAAATATATATATAAAAGGCCGTTAGAAGAAAGAATGTTTAAAACGCATGAATTTGCTGTAAGTAGCAATTGTTAAGTATAAAAATGGGCTTTTAATGTTGACATGTTTTAAAATCTATGGAAAACTTTTTGTGTGTCAGATCGCCACATCCGTCATCGTGCATGCGCGCTGAAGGATACGATCGGAGCCATCATCTGCGACGAACTGGACGAAGACTTTGCGAGAGTCTGTGAAGAAATCCAAGAGTCCCGTGTTCGACGAGGTAAAATAATTAAAGCTTCAATCTTTCCTGCAGCTTTTACGTCAAAACCCGTCTAAATTCTTTACATATAGATGCCAAATATTCCCACTTCATTTAGCTGTATTTATTTAAATCTCTGAATCACAAACTAAGACATTTATTTTGGCGACAGCGTTGTCATACAGGACCGGGATCAAGCAACGGACTAATGGCTTCTACAGATCTCTGTTCTCCAGAAACAGACATGGGCCACGAGGTACGTTTAGCTAAACACTCCTGTTAATATACAACTATGTCATGAAGAAACACTTTACTAGTTAAAGCTTTAATTAAATAATGGCTGTATTTTATTTCAACAATAAAAAACATACTTGCATGGGTATTGGAAAGGGGATATGTAAACGTATAGATTTTTTTTTTTATATCAATAAAGACTTTTCTGGTCTATTAAACTGTATTTAACATTGCTGTTTTTAAAAGCACATCCACACATTAATTATTGTCAAATTTTGAAAAGATAATCTGAATTTTCTTTGACCGCCTTGCTGAAATGAACATTTCTATAATAATAGACAGACGCTAAAGTCAAAGTTTAGGAAAAGCTGCAACGACAGGAAGCTTCAGAGTTTTTCATTTAAACATAACAAGCTCCGAGTCACAGCAGATGAGAGGAAGGGACAGATTCTGCTAACTGAGAGGACAGACGTTAACAAGAGGGACACTGACAGTGGAAGATAAAAGTCAAAAGCAGATGCCAAGATCAAGTGGACGGTAATGGAGGTTCAGCTGCACTCAGCCACATTTCTGCTCGGTTTAATGACGATTCCTGTTGTTACTCTGCCCTCAATCCCAACCCCCTTCTAACCGCTCCTTCCAGCACTCAAGAAAAAGCGTTACAAAAAGGCCCGAAGATCCAAGTGGAGCAACGGTGTCATTAGGAAACCGAAGAAGAAGAAGCCCCCAGTCTCAGCGTCGAATACCTCCTCCTCCACGTCCAGCAAAGCCAATTCTGACTCGAGCGCCGAGGAAATCAGAGGTGTCAGAACCGGAGTGGTGAATGGTTCAGCAGCTGGCCTGAGCTCATCCGGCGTGTCAGACAGCAGCGACGAGGAGCAGAGTCAGCGCAGCTTAAACCAGAGCGTCCTCGTGAACGGCTTCAACCACAGCAAGCTGCTCCCCAAACACAGGCTGAACCTGAGGCCTCGAACCCGCTCCTCGGAGACTGCCCCAGCTCCACGGAGGATGTTAAAGAGGGCTTATTTAAACAAATTAGGTCTGTATGACTAACAAAGATTTGGAACAAAAGCTGCACCGCTAGCTGAGGCATTGTGAGCTCCTTGCCATACTAACTGGTTTTCACTGGACCGCAACTGAGCTGCAAAGCCCTGCAGATGAGAAGTGTGTAAAAAAAAAAAATTAAAAAAGGGAGTGAAAGTGTTGCTGCTGCTGAGCAAGATTTAACAAGCAGCATTCTGGGCATGGAGCCAGCTGACGCAAAGCTGAGCTGAGAACAGAAGAGCTCTGATATCCCATCACAGAAACATGCACTTCAGAAGAGAATTCTTTTCTTCGTTTACTCAGCATGAAATTGTTTCAGGAGCGTGTTTAGACGAAGCCCGTTCCAGTTTATTTGAGGTTTAGGAGCTTCTTTGATAGAAAAAGACGGAACAATCCTCGTTAACGATCACTGCAGCTTTTCTATACACGGAGACTGTTGCGGACCGTACAGAGGAACGTTTTGTCGAGTCAACTCTAATTTAGCTGTGACGAAGAAAGGGGTGTCTGCAGATCTAGAAAGCTGATCTCTAAAATTAAAAGTAGAAAACAAACAACATATAGAGCTTATATAACTAAAGATATTTGTAAAACATTCTGAAACAAACTGCAGCTCTGCAGTAACATGTTGAATTGCTGCAGAAGCTTGTGCAATAACAACCGGTTAATTTAACCATTTTCGCTTGAATAATCCTTCTAATTAGTCATAATGTTCAGTGTCCTTGTATTACTTGCACTTTTTTCGTTCATGCATTCATTCCCTCACTAACCCATTAATAATTAGAGTATTGTTTACTGCCTGAACCTGACCCCCTCGGTAGTTTTAATCTGAAAGTAAAATATTTAACTAAGGAGTTCAACGATGAAGCTCAAAACCGTGGCGCGTTAACAGACAGATGGAAACGTTAAAAGTCACATTATGAGCCATGTTACTCAACTGGTGTTTCATTATCTGAGAAACATTTTGAAAGTTGAAAGATTTGGATCAAAATCTGACTTTAAAAAGTAATTCATGGATTTATTACAAGTAGAACGGAGTCTCGCAGACCTCTCTATAGGTCTCCAACAAGCTCCATAAACACACTGACTGATTCTAAATGCTGCTGCACGATTTCTTTTATGCTCTTATTGCAAAGAACAATGAGTAACCGTACGCTTAAAATCTGCTATTTAAACCAAATTTCCACCTGACGTCCGCCTCGTCCTACTTCCCATGTCTTCCTCAGAGACTCGCAGAAAGGATGACGGAGGGAACAAGGCTGCCCTGGAGCAAACACGGGTGCTCAGCGGCGAGAAATCTGCTCGGGTCCCTGAAGATAAAACACCTCCGCTGGTAGCTGATCACAACAAACTAAAGGTAAAGCACTCAAATTTAAATAACTACGTTCTTTCTAACCGCTGTTACCCTCTTTGTATGAAATGGGTCTTGTTATGATGAGCTTTGTTCTTATAAAAACACACCAAACATTAAAGATGGTGATTTCCCCCCCTAAACAAACTAAGTACTCCAATAAAAGCAACTAGACTTTTTTTTTTTTGGTTCATCTCGGCTCTTGAGTTTTGTCTTGAAAAAAATTGTGCTGATTTTAGAAATTCATGGGGAGCTTCAGGTTTTTCAAATATGTAATGCGTGATGAAATGTTTGTTTTTCTTCTCTTATAATGGCCGATGTTGTCCTTGTTCTAAGCCCCGCCCATTATTCACGGTCATGTTTCTCATTAAGACCAGCTGGTGCTTCGTCACCTTCAGGTGATCTCATTATTATTTAAAATTATCTTCTTAAATTATTTGCATTACAAGTATTCAGTATTTAATTAATTATTGTATGCCTCCAGTTAAAATGAATATTTTGTTAACTTGAGCCCTGTTTTTGTTTTGGGCGAGTGCTGTATCAGTATTAGTCCACCGCTAACTTAGCATTTAATTAAAAGAAAAAGAATATGAGTTGATTGGTTGAATTTATGTGACACTGAACTAAATGTTACAGATAAAACTCAAATGTTGCGTTTTTGTTGTTGTTCACACAGTTGTGGTTTATATTTCATGAATTTCAGAACTGCGAGGATGTTTTGAGTTTTTAAAGCTTTGTAGATCCCAAAACTTAATAAGTGAGAGCTTTGAAACAGGACTGGTAAACTTATTTGTTTGTATTTTTCAGGAATTGCTGAACAGAACTGTGTCTAAAACCGAAGGTGCTGAGGTGGAGCCACTGGAGAAGCTTTACGCTCTCCTGGCTCAGTGCATCTACAGACACAGAAACAACTACAACAAGACAGAACTCATCAAGGTAGGCAACCAAACAAAACGTCAGCTGACCGCTTATTGTATCCAGGAGCCTTTTTAATTTATTTTATACTTCGTTTAGAGATTTATAAACATAGACCCAGTCTTTATATGATTGTTACAACAAATTAAAGCTGTTGGCTCTGCTCAAGTTCAATAACTCTTTAAGACACATCATAGCAGGTGAACACAAATGAGTATCGTGTAGTTACTAAAATAAGATCTGTTCAGCAATCACATTTCTTTTAAAGTAATTTAAAATATTTCCATCCAGATTAAGCTTGACAGTGGATGAATTGATGAACTTGCTTGTTGCAAAAAAGACTTGCACTCATTAAAATCTCAAGGTCTAGTTTAGGAATTCATTAATTTTTTTGTGTTTCCTAGGAAATGAAGTCGGCGATCGACAGCTTCTCCTGAGCACCCTCACTAAAACCTGAACAAATTTAAAGTTGTTTTTGCCTTTGTACATTCATTTACACAAATCTAGCAGCATGGTGGCGCAACTGGTAGAGCTGCTGCCTCTCAGCGAGCAGGTCCTTGGTTCAAACCCCGGTCCGGGGGCCTTTCTGGGTGGAGTTTGCATGTTCTCTCCGTGCATGCGTGGGTTTTCTCCGGGTGCTCCGGTTTCCTCCCACAGACCAGAAACATGCATGTTAGGCTGATTGATAACTCTAAATTGTCCCTAGGTGTGAGTGAGCGAGTGAATGGTTGTTTGTCTCGTTTGTCTCTATGTGTCCCTGTGATGGACTTGCGACCCGTCCAGGGTGTACCCCGCCCCTCGCACAGTGATTGCTGGACATGGGCACCGGCGACCCCCGTGACCCAAAATGGAGTAAGCAGGTAAAGATAATGGATGGATGGATACACAAATCTAGAATACATGTGTATTTACAATATTTCACCAATTCTATCTCTGTTTGCTTCCTTTACATTTCACAAAAATTTAATGTGTATAATCTAGCTGTGTTAATTATTTTTATCATGACATGCGCTTTAATAAAGATGTTATTAAGGGTCGTGGTTTGTGCTCAGTAGCAAATAAACACTTTTTTTTTGTATTTGTTGCCTGTTTTGAAAGTTTGTTTCACACATAACTTGTTAAAAACAACCTAAAGCCACAGTTTAACCTCGAGCTACTTGTAACCAAAAATGTGTTGGTATAAGATTAGAGATTGCACCTAAATAAGCTTAACTCTCGTGTATTTTATTGTAAGACAATAAATTATTTGTTGAAATAAATTGTTTTGAAGATCTTGTGTGTACAAGTGGTGTCTGAGTTTGTGTTTCTATTTTCTTTTTTAATAATTCATATTATAAATGTTAGTTAGTCGTTCATCACCACACAATGCGCAGAGTTTGTTTGACGTAATGACGTACATTACTTTCAACCTGACGCGTAAAAAAACATACGCCAACTGTCGTTTCCGGTTATCGTCAAAATAAAAGTAACTTAATAAACGTCTCAAAAATTAGGGCAATTTTACACACAATATATTTATTGATCCAAAATAGACAAGCTTTTAAATATATTTAGTCGATTAAAAATGAAATAAAATAGTATTTAATGTTTTTATTTCCGTGAAGAATATGCGGATAAATTGCCAATGCTTTTACTTTGAAACGCATAAAACGGATGCACTCTTCTGGAATCGTTAGCTTTCTTCATAGCCACAAAAAAAGGTTGGATTCGGTGAACTATCGGTGCCTCTTTTTTGTTAAAACTATCTTTTTTGGTTGCAAGGCAGTAGTGTAAACAATGCGTGCTGAAGCGCGGCTACCGGAGCCCGCAGCTAGCAGGCGGTAGTCAGCGCGAGCTCGGCCGTCAGAGTAGCTCTCTCAGCCCGGCTGAGACAGATGGGCTCCTCGGTGAAATTGAGTAAAAGGCGGAAGACTGCGTATGAACAGTCACCCAGAGATGCTACACAGCGGCTACCAGCTAGCTAACTGTTCCGACATGCAGTCAACCGTGAGCCGATTCAACAGGTAAACACGGCGCTGACAGCCGAGTGTCAGCGGGGTTTGTACGAGCTTCTCAACCACGACACCCCTAAAGGACATGGCTATTTCTTTGTCACATAAGTTGAGACAGCTAATGTTAGCCGGTGTGTTTGCCTTCGTGTTTGTCAGAGAGAAAAACGAGACATGTAGAGCTTGTTGTGTCAGACAGCATGATGTGTTTTGATCGGCTGGATGTGCATGTTCTGCAGAGCTTGTCGGTGAAGTCCCACATTTAGCTACAGAAAGTGTCTAATCTAATAATAATACACGAGTTACTGTCACGATTCAGGCTTCTGTGCTCTTGTTTTTTTTTGTTGTTGTTGCCATATAACCCATTTATGTAGAGATGATTAAAATAAGCAGTACACTCAACTACTTTTAAAGAGTTTCTTTAAGCACTTATTAAGCAACGCACAGCAAAAGCAGTGCTCAAAATGCCACTTTACAGTCACTTAAAGTGGACATTTTTATTCTTGATTAACTTTTTTTTTTTACTTTACCCTTTCTAAAGCTCCTGCACATTACATTGTGTATACATTTATTCAGTAATAACTATGTTATTAATATAATATATAATAATAAATATACTAACAAATGTTTGCTTCTTTCTTCCCCTTCAGGATTTACAATTTTTAAATGAACCATCTTGAATGACGGCATCCTTCTTTATGGATTTGCAACAGGACAGCTTGCACTAACTTCTATACTTGATAAACTCCTTGAAACCCAGGATGGCAAGCAGGAGGAAGTCCACCACTCCCTGCATGGTTCCTCCTCAAGATACTATAGACTCAGACCAGGATATGGAGGACGTCATGGACACAACAGATCCCGAGGACAGTAACGGATTGGTGACTGCTTCTTCTGACGTTTCTACTTTGATGGAGGACCGAGGTGAGGATGCAGACGTCAGACAGGATCTGCTACCAGACCCTTACATGGACCTGAACATGGCAGAAGGGGGCTACGAGTGTAAATACTGCAGCTTCCAGACGTCGGAGCTCAACCTGTTCACCATGCATGTTGACACGGAGCATCCCGATGTTGTCATTAGCACCTCCTACGTCTGCATGGAGTGCGACTACCACACCAAAAGGTAGAGCGAACTAAGTTCATTGTCTTTTTGGGTAGTTGAACTAAGATCCTAGGTGTTTGTATTTTAATTTAATTGCAGTAGATAAGCAAATATTGCATACTATCATGTTATTTTTAGTTGTTTACCCGTGTTTTTTTTTTCTGTATTTAGCTATGACACACTTCAGGCCCACAATGCTCGGCTGCACCCGGGCGAGGACAACTTCACACGAACAATGGTAAAGCGAAACAACGAGACTATCTTCCAGCAAACTGTCAACGATCTCACTTTCGACGGCAGCTTCGTCAAAGAGGAGGACGACGAAGTGGAGGAGACGTCCCGCAAAGCCATCCCCCTCAGCAAGACCCCCATCATGAGGATCAGGAGCAGGTCAGAGCCCAATAAATTTGCCGCAGCGCCTAAAATGACTGTCGACGACGATGTGATCAAAGTGGAAAGTGATGATGAGGGTGAGGAGAACGAAGAGCCTCCCCGGCTGTCGCCCGCTCCGATGACCACTGCTGCCTCGGCTCCTCGCCTCATCCCCGTCTCCACACCGGTGCAGGCCGTGCCTCAGAGCATCGTGGTGAACAGCTCCAACATGGTGCAGATAAAAGGCGGCTCGGGTGGGGGCGGCTCCGTGCTGGCCCCAGGGACACTGGCCCAGGTTCTGTCAGCGTTGCAGACCCAACAGAACACTCAGACTCAGCTCCTGATCCCCATCAGCAGCATCCCCACCTACAACACTGCCATGGACAGCAACGTCCTGCTCGTCAGCGCCTACAACAGGTACACCCCTCGTGTTTTTTTACTCGAGAACTGTTTAACTAGAGCTGCATCTATTCTTTATGTTTTAGTTTCTTAGATTATATTTTATTAATGTCTTTGAGCTTTTAGCCCAACAGCTACTGCTGAACACACAATGAGTTTAGAAATGTCCCACATATTTAATCCAACTTTTGAACTAGAAACATTTTTCCTGAGCTTGTTTTGATACACTTTTTTGGTGAATTTGTTTGGAAAAAGATCCAGTTAGAAGAATACCGCACATCAGGGATATTTTATTTAACGTGTCATTTACAAAAGCTCGAGTTTGACTCTTGTTGCTGGTGTAGCTTCGCAGTCACGCTGGACATGGCAAATCCAAACACAAAGCAACTGGACTTCTGTTCGTTGAATGCATGAGGCGTTTTCAGCTTTAAACCGAGGCTGAAGTCTCAGATTTGATCTCAGAGGGTTAAGCTGGATATCCAGTTGTTTTTCCTCAAAGTCACACCTGCTTGTGACCAAAACATCTTCCTCGGGTCGAGCCAGGCACAAAGACAGAAATGAGCCGTAGGTGAGAGGGGAGTGAGCTCAATCTGTTAATTTAGCTCAACACAGATGGGAACATCTTCCTAAGTCCAGTTTCTTTGTTTGTTTTTTTTATAATATATATATATTTTTTTAATGGGTATTTGTTTACAAACAGCCAGAGATTCTTAATGAGATGATCTGCACACCATGACATCACGAGAGTCTTAAAAATAAATGTTTACGTTTTATAAGCAATGGAGAAGTTTTCAATTCAACATAAGTTTCTCCAAATTTAATTATAAATCACACCCTTTTATGTTGCCCTTTACAACAAAGACGTTTTTATGGCAGACAGACAGACGAAGCATCTTTTCGTTGCAGGTTTCCGTATCCGTCCGTGTCGGAGATCGTTGGTTTGTCGTCGCAAACCAAGTTCAGCGAGGAGCAGATCAAGGTCTGGTTTTCTGCTCAGAGGCTCAAACACGGAGTCAGCTGGACACCAGAGGAGGTGCGTATTGCATATGCTGAGGTTTTGCGCAGCGGCTGTATCTCCTCATCTTCACACTTAGAAAAAATAAATAAATCAGACCCAGTGACGAGCAGAAAGCTTTAATTTGAACAAACTGATCAAAAGTAAAATAAAACGTTTTCGCAGTCAACGATGGAGGATGCAAACCAGGGTTAAAAAAAGTTTACATTTTATTTCATTTACTTGTAGACAGAATGTTTTTGAACATAGACTACTGAATTAAATAAATTTATAAGATATTAAAAAAAGTCTTATTAATGCTATTGCGTCGGCTTTGTGTAATAACACGAGTTTCATCATGTCCTTATGACTGCAAGTGTCAGAGAAATGTATTTTAAGCTTAAACTGGATTATAGTGACAGGATTATCCTGCAGGAGGCTGTTCCTTCCTTCTTTTGTGGATTTTCAGTCAAACAGTTCTGCTGCTGCTCAGGTTCCTGGAAAACCATCAGCTCAGAATAATATAAATTTGATGCATGTTACAGATGTTTGCCTGGTTGTGCCGATTAGTTTCTCTGTTTTTAATAATCATTTCTTGTGTTTTGAAACAGTCACAAAACAGCAACACCCATCAACGTGTGGGTTATTGATGTACAGTAGTCCCTCGTTTATCGCAGGGGATCCGTACCCTGAAGCCTCGCGATAAGTGAAAAACCACGACGTAGGAGTATTTGTACAAGTAGTAAGTAGTAGTTTATGTTAATATTAATATATAAATAAATATTACGGTGTTTTAAACCCTTCCCACAACTCTTTCAATATTCTAAGCAATATTCTAAACTCTAAAAGAGCACAGCATGTCATGATTGCAGCTCCCTGCCTCCTCTGCTCTCCTGCAAGCGCTCTTGGCCACGCCCACTTCTCCGCTGCACGGAGAACAGCTGATCAGCTGCAGCAGGAAGCTTATCCTGCAGTGTGGGCCGCACAGAAGCGCAGGAGGTGCTAAATAATTTAAAACAGTTAATTTTAAATAAAAATTCATGCCGATCGTGCAGCTCATCCATCAATCAGCCAGTTGTGCGTCATGTCCAATCTTATTTTGAAAAACCGCGATAGATCGAGTCTGCGATAAACGAACATCGAAGTAGTGAGGGACTACTGTATGACAAATAACTACTTGAAATCCTGACTGTTATTCTAAAAAGTGACAAACACTGATTTTCACTGTAGTGGTTAGCTAAATTAATATGTTGATATCACACTGTTAAGATTATTTATGATTTTTCTGTCATGTTGTTTGTTCTTTTTCATACAGTTCTCAGATCTAAAGTACGTTTTGAAGGAAATTTGATTCACAAGCTAAACAAATAAGTTATGGATGAATCGAGTTGTGCACAAAACATTTTAACTCGGGAGAAGCCGGGTCCTCACATTATAGTGAATTTAAATTTAAGCAGAAAGTGTTTCGTTAACTCACAACACTGTAACAAACGGCCTGACAGAATCCGAGTCATTTGTCAAAACACATCTTTAAAAAAAAAGATTTTCTCTGTTGATTATTTGACCTTGTTGGCGACTCAGTTGCGTTTTAGCTAGTCTGCGTCCAACTTCTGCTAATTAAATTGGCAGTAACTTGGCCTTTTTGTACCTTCTTTTAATTAGTTCGGTTTACTAATGCTCTCAAACTCTTAATGTGAGATATTTGTAAATATAAAACTTCTAATTTATTAATTGCTATCAAATTACATGGTTGACGTACTCGTTAAAACGTTAGTAAGTTTTGTATTTCAGCCTTTTCTGGATCCTTTTATCATCTTTAACCAGTCTCATCATCACATTGCACCTTCCAACTCATCACATGTTTTATTGACTTAATTGAACAGACACTTGTAGAGTCTCCACAGTGTCGTGAACTCTAATAGCACCAAGTTTAAAACTCAAAGTTCATACAAACAGCCCCATCAGCCAATCAGAGATTCATCCAAAGTGCAACAACATAAGAAGTTCTACTGATGACAGGATGAATGTATAAATATTATAAAACTGTTTTAATTTTGGTTCAGTTTGCGGTTTCTGAGGTCATTCTTAACAACCAGAGTGCAGCAAACAAAGTAATCTCAGTCTTTCGGTTATTTAAATAAAACATAGAAAATGTTGTAGCAATTTCAACAAAGCCTTTTTGGACATTTTCTTGTTTTGCCGTCATTATGTTTAAATCCTGTCCACAAATACAGTAAACTGAAATGAGAGTCGTGTCATGAAACAATTCAGTTTATTTATACAGTGCCAAATCACAACAGAAGCCACGGTTCTTTATTGTCATTTGCATCACATGTGGCACGAGAGGTGGAACGAAAGTGTACTCAAGGTCCCAGTTACACCCAAAAATAGCAAAGTATAAAAACAGTATACAAGGATCTAAGATATACACTAAACAAGAATAGTAAAATATAATACGGTGTATTAAACAGCAGCCTGAACATGAGTCTGTTGTGAGCAGATGGGTATGAATGTAGCAGCTTGTGGGAAATAAATCAGCAGCACAGTCATCTCAGGGCACCGTACAGAAACATTCACGTACATAAAAAGTCAGTTAATAACGTTATTTAACTAAGGAGATACACCATTTCACTTACAAATACAGTCTATGACTACGAAAGATATGCTTAACTGTTTAAAGTATGAAGAAGAAACAAATAAAACCTTTTTTTTTTCAATTACCGTAATTGCCGGTGTATAAGCCGCTACTTTTTTCCACACGTTTTGAACAATGCTGCGGCTAAATTGTGGATTTTATTTATTTGTTTATTTATTTTGACGGGCTAACGAGCTTTCTGCCACCAATAAAACTTTTAGTTGTCGCACCCGGGCGCTTGCATAGCTGCCCAACACCCACCCCTCTTGGGGGTGGGTCTTAGTGGCACAGAGAGTGAACTCCACAGGTATTTATGGCAAGCACCTATCTCACTCGTGGTTATTGCACGCTACTGAATGGACTACTAACACATAATGAACACATGAACTATGATAAATAGCAATTAGGTTGTTTTTTTTGCAACCCAGACTTCTGCTAATGATGTCACCCTTTCTGTGTACCCGTGTTTTTTTTTTTACAAATAGACTGTAGACCAAATTTACAAATGTTATTTTATTTTTTGTTGCTCTTTCCTGCAGGTGGAGGAGGCAAGGAGGAAAAAGTTTAACGGCACAGTCCAAACTGTCCCTCAGACCATCACCGTCATCCCCGCAAACATCGGTGCAGCTACGAACGGTCTGCAGTCCATCTTTCAGACCTGTCAGATCGTTGGTCAGCCAGGGCTCGTCCTCACTCAGGTGGCTGGCAACGGCAGCGCCATGCCTGTGGCCTCGCCGATCACCCTGACGGTGGCAGGGGTGCCCAGTAGCCAGCCCAAAGCCGCCGAACCTTCAGCACTCGAATCGAACGCTGAGATGTCGGGCTCGTCAGCCAGTTTGTCGCTCAGTTTGGATGCAGCCACAGCAAAGCCAAAGAAGTCCAAAGAGCAGCTGGCGGAGCTGAAAGCGAGTTACGGCAGGAGGCAGTTTGCCAGTGAGGAGGAGATATCGCGCCTCATGCAGGTCACCAAACTCTCCAAACGAGCAATAAAGAAGTGGTTCAGTGACACGCGCTACAACCAGAGGAACTCGAAGGATCACCACAGCTTGCTTCTGAGTGAGACTTCGTCCAGCAGAGCTGCATCGGGAGGAGGCAGAGGAGGAAAGAACAGCAGCAACATCCTCGATGAAAACCTCGGCAGTGAGACTCCCACAAATGCTACTGCTGCCGCCACCACCATTGTTATCGACTCCAGTGATGACGCCAGCGACTCCTCCCCAAATTCTGCCGCTGCCCCGGGCTTGTCGGGGTCAACGCGTGACCCGCGTGTCAAATTCCGCCACGCTTTCCCCGACTTCACTCCACAGAAGTTCAAGGAAAAGACTCCAGAGCAGCTCCACATCCTGGAGGCCAGCTTCCAGACATCGGACCAACCTTCAGACGAGGAGCTGAGTCGGCTGCGTGCGGAGACGAAGCTGACGAGACGGGAGGTGGACGCTTGGTTCACAGAGAGACGGAAAATGTCTCTGGCGGCTCAGTCAAGGGACAGCGACGCCGAGGGTGACCCAGACAAGGTGTCCACACAGGAGCGACAGAGCACTCCCCCCGTTACCAGGAAGATCCTGAAGAAGACTCCGGAGCAGCTTCACATTCTCAAGAAGGCTTTTGTCCGCTCGCAGTGGCCAACTTCCGAGGAGTACGATCAGATGGCGGAGGAGAGCGGCCTGCCGAGGACGTACATCGTCAACTGGTTTGGAGACACCCGCTACTCCTGCAAGAACAGCAACCTGAAGTGGTACTACCTCTACCAGAGCGGAAAGGTGCGCAAATCCATTTCACAGTTCTTGTTCTGTGTGATGCAGTTATGTAACAATTAGGCCCCGTCGCAATAAACAATAAATCAATTAATCGCATGATAAATGAAAATTATCGACTTTATTTTCATTTATCGACTTTATCGTTTCTTCATGTCTCTTTCTGCTGAACACTGGACGACAACAGGCTCAACTCCGGTGCTCTTAACTGACCCCTACCTTTCTCTTTTGTCTTTAAAATCCATTTGAACCGTCCAAAATCGCGTTTTTGGATCGTTAAAAGCAGCTAAGCTGAGAAGCTAAGCTACGAGCTAAGCTAACAGGCCGACCTCGGAAAAAACTCAGTCTTGTCGAAGCTCCAAAATTCACGGTTGAAACCCGTGCCTTCGTGTAAAAAGTTGTTTTTCTCTGCAAAAAGAAACTGAGAACATGTTTACTGATTATTTTATTAAAAGCTTTGTGTGAAAAGTGCTATGTTAAGAGCTCAAACCACACTGAGTGTCCGCCATTTTGAGAACCAAAAAACAGGAAGGAGAGACAGCCCATGTCACGTCAAGGGGCCTCCCTCCCATTTTTCTTAAAGAATCACGCTGCTCGCTCCCTCACTATCCATCCTTCAGTTCAAACAGTCTTATACTGCCATCTGGTGGTCAAAACAGGGTATTACACTCAAATAACTAACATTTCTTCTTAATTTTGACAAAAATGACTAATTATTGTCAAATTTCAAATATTATCGTTTATCGCAATAATTTCTTAAACAATTATTCACCCAGCAAAATGTGTTATCGTGACAAGCCTAGTAACAAAACCAGACGCCTAAATGTACTTCTTTAAAACACTCTACTCAAAGTCGCTAAAAACCAAAATGTTGGTGGCTTTAAGGTGGACGAGGCGCTGAACGGTGGAGCAAAGATCCAGAAGAAGTCCAGGAAGCGTTTCCACGGTTGGTCCAGGAGGTCGCGCCGTCCTTATTCCTGCAAACGGTCTCCACAAGTGGGTGTTAGCGTCATCAAGGTCTGTGTGTCCATGTAATCTAATTTAACCTCTGCATGCCAATGTCAGCTTTAATAGCCAAAAAAAAAAAGAAAAAATCCATTAGCATTAATTTTACTGTAAAGACACAGAGAGAGTTTATTGGATCAACGCTAACTCGAACAGCCACAGATTTAATCAATTAAAGAGTCGGGCTGCTTGTTGGGTCAAAAACAGATTAGGTTTGTTTTTTTGTTTTTTTTCCCAGTGCTTAAGTGGTACGCCATGGTGTTTTAATAGTCCCGCAAATCTTTATAAGCAAAAAATAGATCGTAATGATTTATATTTTTTTACTTTCTGGTTTCTAAATAAATAATAGCAATAACAGCTTTGCAAGAGGGGACAGATGAAGACGGAGGCCGCTGTTTAATGACGGGCAGGTTCTCTTCACAAAGATGGCTTCCTTTACTCCTCTCGCTCTCGATTTGACATATTTTAAACATCTGCGTGTTGTCGTTCTCTTCCAGGTGAAGTCCGGTAAGATGTTTCTAAAGGAATACTACCTCAAACACAGAGCCCTGAGCGAGAAAGACTTGGACGATTTGGTGGCAAAGTCCAAGATGAGTTACGAGCAGGTGAGAGACTGGTTCTCTGAGGCCGCCAGAAAGGTGGAGGAAGGCAAGGAGCCCTTCAGCGAGGAGGAGGCAGAGGAGGAGGAGGCAGATGATGATGAGGAGGAAGAAGAGGAGGAGGAAGTGGCAACAGCAGAGTGTGCAGACAGTGAAGGAGAAATGGAGGTGAGAGAACAAGGAGAGGCCTCAGATAATGACTGTGTTGAAGATGGAAAGAAGGAGGAGCCTGATGAGGAGGAGGAGGAGGAAGAGGATGATGAAGAGATCCAGGAGGAATCTGAAGGTGACAGCCAATCACAGCCTCAGGCTGAGGAGCGGACATGAACAGGCAGGTGAGTGGGTCTCTGCAGCACATTTCAGACGTGCAGCCGAAACACAGATCTGATATTCAGTCAGACACTTTCACTCCAACATTAATGCTATAAATAAATAAATATAATATATATATAGATCTATCTATATCTCTATATCTCTCTCTATATCTCTATATCTCTATATCTCTCTCTATATCTCTCTCTATATCTCTATATCTCTCTATCTCTATCTATCTATCTATATCTCTATCTATCTATATCTCTATCTATATCTATCTATCTATCTAT